ACAATTCACGTGCACAATGTTTCCAGGAGGACTTCTGGAGTTGTTGGATTCAGGTTGCTACGGATGTTAGGATCAGCCTTGGTCGTACAAAATTGGTATCAAAATAATTACTAACATCATGAAGATTAGTGAGACAGAAAAAAAAGGGAGTCTAGTTCTGAGGTCACCTCTCTTCTGCCTCAGGAACAAACACATGACCTCAGAGAGTAAGGAAGCTACGTCTAAAACAAATAATAATTGTTGCATTTCAGGAAGATATAAGGTGCAAATGTCCCAAATACTTCATGCGGAATTGATGTTCTGTGTAGTAACTGAATATTGTAGGCAAATACCAATTTGTGCACAGCAGGTGACACAAACAGCCTCAAAGCGAATGACCAATTTATCTGGAGGACTGTTCGTCAGAACACCAGTTGAGATTATAATGATTTATAGAATAAATCAAGAAATAATCAATCAAGAAAATTTATTTTGTTGACCGACCAAAAAGATTGGCCACCGCTGCACTAGAGTATCAGTCTGGACTCTTGATCAATTCATATTTTTGTGAATGTGTCTACAAATAGTTACTACACTTGACAGTAATTATCTGTGAGATGTTTCAGCATTAAAGGCACAATAACAAAGCAAAGATTTTCATTGAGGTATAATTATTTTATTACACTGTTTCTGCTTAAATCCAATATACAGCATTTCATAGTTAATATTTTCACCTTGTTTAACGATTCATGTGTGGCATTTGTCAGTGGTTTATTTTTAGTTGATGCGGATTTGTTTTTTTTACCAGTTAGAAATACACTTTTTCCAATGAAAAAGCTTCTAGAAATGAGCGACACAAAGAAAGCTTTATATAACTTGTATTGCTAATTATACTTTCAGTAATCAGTTATGTGAACATGTTAAGGCAGCGTCAAGAAGAACACTGATAATAATGATGCAAAGGCACAATTGTAGTTGATACCACTTGACATGAAAAACAGCATCACATAGCAAGTACTGTAGAATATCAATCCTGGTGTTTTTTGCCCACAAAATATACAGTCAATTTACTTTACAATATATTCTGTGAAATGCTTTGAGACATCTCAACGAAGTAATAAGGCGCTATATCAAATGCAAGGATTATTATTATTTTTCAGCAGATCTTTGGGAACTAACACATGGCTTATGCAGGGACGTACGGCATTTGTGGCAGCATGCGGATAAATAATGTAAAGCCCCCCTGGGCTCCTGCGTAGCCGACAGTCAGCGGTAACAATAACAACCCTTGCGGTTTGCGCACCACGTTCAAAATACTGATTTTTTTTTTAAAAAAATTATCAAATGACTCGGTGGAAGATGTTAGATGACAAAGTGCAGAAAAGATTTCCCTCCCCTTCCCTTTGCAATAGCGGCAGGGAGTTCAGAGCCCCCCCCACACCCCCCCCCCCCCCACCCCGGGCTTTGTAGTAAACAACACAGCGATTGTTTACCAGAGGACGGCTGCGGGGCTCAGCACGCAGGCGCCCTGCCCCGCACGGCCTGCTGGGAAATGTAGTTCTCTCCCCACGGCTCCCCGCCCGGACTGGCCCTGTTTATCCACTACATCCCCCACAATGCCGCGCTCATTCATTCCACCGGGTACAGCCCCCGAGGAGCGTCGGCAGAATAGACCACAAGTGCACGACAATGCGGAAACCCGAACGCTGTTTGAAGCGTCAGATAATCCCTTCCTTACCGCACGTTTGATTATTTATCTTTTTTTTAAAAAAAACACATGCATCCCTTTCGGACAATTCTTTAATCGACTATTACTCGTGTTTAGTGATAATGTACACACAGCGCCTTATCGGATTTTCGAGACACCTCAAAGCGCTTCTCACAGAATATACTGTAAAGTGAATTGACTGTAAATTTTGTGGGTGAAACACGGCGGCCAATTGCGCACAGCAGTGTCCCACACACAGTCGTGGATTGAGTGGCCACATTTTTTTTTGACTCTTAGTTTATGTTCCGTTGGTTACCCTTTAAATTAAATTTTCTCAACCCATCTGATCGCACTGAAGAGCATTTTTTTCCCCCCCAAATTCAAATCATCTAACTATCTTGTTGTTGAATGAGGCTGATGCACCATAGCTTCCCCATTTGTCACTGATAATAAGATTTATAATCAATTTAATCTTGCTTCATGACATCTATATTAGGTAAAAGGTATTTTTAAAATACAAAATTGTTTAAAATACAAATTACAAATGTCATCTTTGGTGAGTAACACATTTAGTCAAGTAAAAAACGGAGTTCAAAACAACACGTTGCCTGCAGTGAATTGAGAAGTTATTTTTTTCATGTCAACCAGGAGTCTGACAGATGCAGAAGCCCATCACCATGCTTAAAATAAATAATCCTTGCATTTAATATAGTAATTTTCACATTAGGAGGATATCTCAAAGTGCTTCACATGATTTACAGTAATGTGTAGCAACTGTAGTTTATAGGTGAACTTATGCACAGCAATTCCTACAAACAGCCCTGGAGTGATGCACCCTACTTACTTAATTCCAAAGAGTATTAGGTGGAGGTTGGTGAAACTCGAGGCTTGGGGACAATTTGATGGAGATGTGTTGTGATACTCCTGGAGTTTAACCAGTTAAAACTACATAGGTTACCATTGAGAGCAGCACTTCAGCAAGCTTCCTGCTGCATATCCAATTGGAACCACCCTACTTACAGTTAAAAGGAGCTGAGTGGGAAGAATCCCTGATTCTGGTCTGCTCTTCCAAGTCTTGCTGATGAGATTATCAAGAATAATATTCCTCGAATGTGATATGAACCACCCATCGTCTAAAATATGCGATGTTAAATTAAGGTCCCTTCTCCCTTTTCAGATGGATATTAAAGATCACTGTTCAAAAAGGGGAAGGAGTTTCCTGGCTAAACAATCCCAGATGAAAAATTGCTTGTTCACCTCCTGACTGTTTGCGAGACAACACTCACTACGCCTGCATTTGCCTACAAACACAGCCACTACACTTTGTAATAAAACCCCGTCAAAATATTGTCACGAGTCCCTTTAGCACCAAGTTGAACAGGCCCCTATTCACAGTCACACTCTCTCGGGCAGCCAGGACCCGGGACTTCGGACGAAGCATCTCATCTGTCGAACGGCACCTCCGACCACGTATTGCCCTGCCCCAAGTCAGTACTGGCACTGGAGCGTCAAACCAGACCCAGAGCTCGAAAATCTTGCTTCTCCCTCTCACATTAAATGTTTCACTTTAGTCAGATCCGAGTGAGATGGAGAATATTCAAGTCACTGGTGGTGGCGGACGGGAGAATGAAATGTCCTCGCACCGTGCGATCCATTTCCTATGGTGGGTGAAACTGCACAACCAGAACTGATTTACACAACATCTCGGCAAAGTATTGTGGATCCAAGTTACTTGGCAATGGGGGAGAGGGGGGGTGAACAGTGTCTGTGGGTGAAGTGTGGGGGGGGGGAGAGAGAGTATGACTGTGGGTGAGAGTGTGTAATAGTTTGAGAGAGAGGATGAGTAAGCGAATGCGTATGAGAGAGGTTGATGTGTGTGTATGTGCGTGTGTGTATAGGGGGTGTATGTGCGTGTGTGTATGGGGGTGTGTGTGTGTGTGGGGGGGGTGTGTATGTGCGTGTGTGTATAGGGGGTGTGTGTGTGTGTGGGGGGGGGGTTTGTATGTGTGTGTGGGGGGGGTATGTGTGTGTGTGTGAGGGGGGGTGTATGTTTGTGTGGGGGGGGGGTGGGGGAGCGGAGACAAAGACCCGCCCTCGCGCTCTTCCCATTGGTCGAGCGGCCGAGCCGTAAAGCCCCGCCCCCCCGCGGTCGATCTCGCCCGGGCGCCGGGCTGCGATTGGTCGGTGCGGTTGGAGTGACAGGGCTCACCTGGACGGCTCGGCGCTCCGGATAGGTCGGGCGCCCTGTCTGTCGAGCGCCCCCCTTTCCCCCCACCGTCGGGCCGCCCCTCCCCCTCCCTCCCTCCCTCCCTCCCGCCCTCCCACGTTCGGGCGGGCGAGCAACTCCACTGCTCCATTAGGGGCTACGTCACGGGTTGTTTTTTTTTGGTGCTGCTGCTCCCGACTGGGGAGGGGGGGGGCGGGGGAGAGAGAGAGAGAGAGAGATCACTCGGTTCGGATGTTTACACGTATATTTATCTCTCTCTCTCTCGCTCTATATATATATATATATATATATATCTACACACATTATACGGAGATGTTTTTACGAAGGACGTACCTGAGGTGAAGTGAGCCGAGCGACCGACCGACCGACCGACGGACGAGAGAGAGAGAAAAAAAATATCGACGAGGTTGGCGGCGGAGTTCCCCTCAGGAGGAGAAGGGAAGGGGAAGGGAGAGACCACCCGTCGTAATAATGGCGAGCTCGCCCAATTATTACCACCAGGAGCAGTTACTACTGCACCGACACTACAAGAGGGGCGACAATGAAAACAACAGGCGCGCCGGGGATACGACCAGCGGCGCCGCCGCCACCGCCGCCACCACGACGAGGAGGAGGAGGACGGCTGTGTCATCATCACCATCACCATCAACAACAACCATCGCCTCCTCCACCGCCACCACCACCACGACGACGACGACGCCTCCGCTGCTGCTCCCGCCGCAGCCGCCGCCGCCGCCGCCAACTGCCGTGGCCTCGAGGAGCGGCCACGCGACGGTGCAGCAACTGCAGCCGCCGCCGCCGCAGCGCGAGGCGCTGGTGGTCAGTAGCAGCAGCAGCAGCAGCAGCGCGCCAACTGACCGGCGCGAGCCGCCCGCTGGCCTCATCCTCCAGCAGCAGCAGTTCGTCAACAACCACGGCGGCAGCGCGCGCGATCTAACGGCCGTTTACCTCAGCGGCGGCTTCACGGGCGGCGTTTACGGCGCCGCCGCCGCCGCCGCCTTGCCTCTGCCCCTTCTGCCTCACCCCGGTGCCGCCGCCGCCGGTGCCGCCGGTGCCGCCGCCGCCGTGCCCACCAGCACCGCCTCCACCTCCACCACCATGGACTGCTACGAGGACGTGAGGAAGTACGGCTACCTGAGGAAGCAGAAGCACGGCCACAAGCGCTTCTTCGTGCTGAGGGCTCCGAGCCACCTGGGGCCGGCCCGGCTCGAGTACTACGACAGCGAGAAGAAATGGAGGAGCCGCGCGTCGGCCCCCAAGCGGGTCATCCTCCTGTGCCAGTGCTTCACCGTGAGCAGGCGGGCGGACGCCAAGAGCAAGTACCTGGTGGCCCTGTACACCAAGGACGAGTACTTCGCCATGGTGGCCGAGAGCGAGCAGGAGCAGGAGAGCTGGTACTCGGCGGTGAGCGAGCTCATGAACGAAGGGAAGAGCGCGGCGCTGGAGCCCGACGAGCTGGAGGAGAGCTACGGCACGTTCACCCCGGGCACCGTGTTCAAGGAAGTTTGGCAGATCAACGTCAAGCCCAAAGGCTTAGGGCAGACCAAGAACCTGACCGGGGTGTACCGGCTGTGCCTGTCCAGCAAGATGATCCACTTCGTCAAGATTAACTCGGACGTGCCTTCGGTGCATCTGCAGCTGATGAACATCAGGCGGTGCGGGCATTCCGAGAACTTCTTCTTCATCGAGGTCGGCCGCTCGGCCTCCATCGGCCCCGGTGAGCTGTGGATGCAGGTCGACGATTCGGTGGTCGCCCAAAACATGCACGAAACCATTTTGGAGACGATGAGGGCGCTGAAAGCGTTTGCTGAGTTTCGACCCAGGAGTAAAAGCCAGTCGTCTGGGACCAACTCCATATCACTTCTGACTCGAAGGCATCTCGGTAACCTGCCACCAAGTCAGACTGGATTACAAAGGAGGTCCAGGACTGAAAGCATGACTGGTACTTCTCCTGCATCCAAAAGTGAGGCTTATCGCTTCCGAACATCCAGTGAAGGTGAAGGTACCATGACCAGACCTTTTGGGTCTGTCACTGGAAGTTTAATCCATTTAAACTCTGGAAGAATGGGTTTGAGCAGGGGTGATGGAAGTGGGAGGTACGTAAAGCCACCATTTGGCCCCTCTAACCACAGTCGGTCAGTATCTTTGCCTGTAACCTACCTGCCATCTACCACCAGCCCAGTAAGTGTTTCTTCCAGCAGTGGTCATGGATCTGCATCTGATCCTCTTACACGTCCATCCAGTTCATCAGTTTGTGGTTCACCAAGTGATGGGGGCTTTATTTCCTCTGATGAATACGGTTCAAGTCCTGGGGATTTTAGGTACTTCCGTGTTCGGAGTAATACACCAGATTCACTTGGTAATACACCACCGATTCAAGAAGAAAATTGTTTCTGTGATTATATTTCAATGGACAAACAGATTAATACTGTGAATCTTGATGGCAGAACAAGAGATGACTACATGGTTGCTGAGAAAGGATATAGAAAAAGGACCCACTCTCTTACTACCCCTGGTGCTGTGATAATGCATCAAAAGACTACACAAACAACCTCATCATTGGATGAGGCTAATGTTGATTCATCGAGCGTGGGTGTCGGCAGTCAACTATCATGTTCTGCATCACCAAAGTTTACTTGTAATCCTTACCATGAAGATTATAGTGATGTTGAGATTGGATCCTCAGTTAACCAAAGCCATAACAGATCAAGAGATGATGGTTATATGCCAATGATGCCTGGTGTAGCATCTGCTAGCCATAACAAAAATCAGGATTACATGCCAATGAATCCTAAAAGTACATCTGCTCCAAAAGAAATAGGTTCTCGGCCACCAACTCACCTGGATTCACGGGGATACATGGTGATGTCTCCAACTGATAGTAATACTCCAGGAAGAGGCTTGCTTACAGGATGTGGTTCTAAATTGTCGGTAGCCAATAGTGATGACAAATTATCAAACAGTGAATATGTGGACATGTCCCAAAGAAATCTAACTACACGGAAGTTATCCAGCGATGGCTTCTATAATCTTGCTAGTCCTGAAGCTCAGAAATCATACAGTTCGTATTATTCATTGCCTCGATCATTTAAAGCTCCTTCACAGGAAAGTAGTGAGCATAATGAGTATGTTCCTATGTGTTCTCCAGGAAAATTGATGTATGGAGGAGACTCCGTGTTTACCAGCAGTATTAACAACAGTAATTTGGTCCAAGATATTTCTCATCCATCAGTAACACAAAACGCAGAAGCGATGGTCATTCAAAAAGGAAGAGTTGTGAGGCCCACAAGATTATCACTGGATACCGTGGGCGCTAATGTTTTACCAAGAATGTTTGAGCATAGTTTACCACCGGAGCCAAAAAGCCCGGGAGAGTACATTAATATCGCTTTTAGTGAGAAAACTATCAACACACCATATTCTTTATCAGCAGACGGGTCGCCTTCTTCACTTGGCTCCAGTAGTGAACACAGACGATCTCCGTTGTCAGACTATATGAGTGTAGACCTAGATGTACAGTCACCAAAGGCAGCCATTGTTTCCTCAAATTCTTTGACTAGCATGACCATTGGTTCAAGTTCAAGTGTAACCAGAAGCCAACCAAATGATGCTTACATTAGTGTTCGCCTTGGTGCTGCCTGTGTCAGTACACCTGCCAAGGTGGATGATTACACAGAGATGACATTTAACGTGGCAGTAACGGCTCCTCAGCCAGTTTTACCCAAACCAGATATTGCAGAGGTGATTAGCCCTACAGCAATTGTGAAGAGATTGTGCATTATCGATCAGTATCCTAGTATAAACACCTTTCCTGTCCCTGGCCCTCCTTCTGATGCCAATCATGCCCCTAAGGTGATCCGTGCTGACCCACAGGGAAGACGACGCCACAGCTCAGAGACGTTTTCCTCTACGCCCACAGTGACTCCATCTTCCCCCTTTTTTGCTGATGGTGGCAAAAGGCACAGCTCTGCTTCATTTGATAATGTTTGGCTTAAACCAAATGATAGTGTTAGTGAAGAGCAAAGAAGTACAATGTGCAGGAATACATCTGCAGGCTTTCAGAATGGATTGAATTATATTGCTTTGGACCTAAGGGAAGATCACGGATGTATTGAATCAAATGGAAGCTTGCAGAATCCACTTCGCCAAATCACCAGCAGTACAGACTCTAGAGGCTATGCAAGCATAGACTTTACCAAATCAGATGGGATGAAATATACCTCTACATCTGAAGGTTTGTTGTCTTTCTGGTTTTCATATTTTAGATGAAAAAAAGTTGCTGAATGAGATTGTATTTTTCAAATTTCAGCTGATTAAAATTGGTTGCATGAGACTGTGCAATGAAATATTAACTGGATGTCAAAATGGATAAAATATAATTTTGCAGTGACTTGATAAAGTCCGATCCATAAAGTAGGATTATTGTAAACACACAGACTCTCATGTTCAATTTTATATTGCACGTTGGGGCGGAAGGGTTTTGTTTTAAAAATCCCATTTGAGAACTATATCTGTGAAGGTTAATATTGTTGAGATGTTACATAGGAATATGTGCATCCCCATTAACACTTAATGAGAGCATTCTTTGGAGGTGTAAGTTGTGGTTTGTGGTACCGGTTTATGGTGAGCAAATTGAGGCAGGTATAGTTTGCATAGCCACTGACAATGTTGGTTCTAGGATTTTTCCGGTTCTTGTTTCAAAATTGCCTTTGTGTGAGTATGTTTTCAGATTCAGTACCTGACTTGATTTTTTTTAGAACTCCATGTGTATTGCTATAGTGAGATATTAACAATCACCTTCAGGGCTAAATGTTTTGCAGCCTTCTTGATCTAACACAACGTGTTTATGTACAAATGAACAATTGATTGTTTTCCTAACTGATGATGGAATGAATAGTATTTGCAAAAAGTTTTAAATAGTTGGATTAATATATAGAAAATAATGTTTTTATGTAGGTGAGGATTATTTGACATGGATGAGGGTTTGAATATTGCAACTGTTTAAAAGAAAATGGAATCACTAGCCTACAGTGGAAATCACATTTATAGCATGTTTTATTTTTAACTCTATTAGGCTGAGGACTCAGAAACATTTACTTACCATAAAATTCAAAACGCACACAGAAAACCGGTCGGTTTCCATTGCACTAAAATATGGCCATTTTGGCAAATTGTGCACCAACTTACTTCCTGTATGACTTTCTGTGCTCATATCCATGCCCTGTTCTAACACTGCTTGCAATTTTAATGACCACTCCCACAAATTCTATTAATAATGGGTCTCTACTGTGGTCTTTATCAATTTGTAATAGAAGAAATAATGTTACTTAAGAGAGGATTTGCAACTGAGAGGATTTGTTACATTGATTTATTTTATAATGTGAGTTAAATCTGGAAAAAATTAAAATTCAGAATGGAAGGACTGACACTGTACCACCATTTGAATTTGTGCCAAGTCCTGCATCCTGTTCCAGTTTTAATGACACAAATGTTCTAATTTAAATCTTAATATTGTGGAAAAAATTTAATCTTGCCAGACTTGAGAGCCCTCATTGTGACACAGAACTCCATCTAACTTTCTTTCATGAAATCTATGTCTGCTGAATTAATTGTTATCTTGATCATGCTGGAAAAGCTAACTTAGCAGTCTGTTTGCTTATTAATCCATGAGTAGAAGAACAGCACAAAGGGGTCATAGCTGTTGTGAACTTGGTGCAAAGTAAATGTGTCTTAATGCTGCACTGTGATTTCTCATCAACTGATTGAAGACACGTTGAGTTCTGAAAAGGAGGGGAAACGGTGCTGTACTGGAGAATGTATATGTGAACTTTAAAGTTGCAGTAGGCTGAAATGTGTTCCAACATTGTATAATGGAGTTGTATTTATAACTGTTGGATGAATGAATGACATTCCAATTAGATACTCTGGTAAGGTACACATCATTCAAGCTAAAAAGCCTGTATAACACATAGTGCAGTATTGATTTTGCCACTGGATGTCGCTAGCATACTAAATATTTTAGCATCCATATATCTATCACATTCATAAATCGTGCAGGAGATTACCAAGGGCAGAATATTCTTACTGCATCCAGATTTTCCTCCGTTATCTGTTTTAAATCCGTTAGCTCCTGAAAAATGGAAGTACAAAGCACAATTTGCATTTATATAGCACATTTCATGTAGGATAATATCTCGGAGCATTTCACATGGACAGTCTCAGATTCTGAGTAAGGGTGTACGGCATATGTATAGTAGCATATGTAGCTGAATTTTTTAATGGGGTGGGGGGATATTGGTGACATAATAATCCTTGCATTTGATATAGCGCTTTTCACGTCGGGAGGACGCTTCACAGAACACAGAGCGCTTCACAGAACACACTGTTAAGTGAATTGTATATTTGTGGGCGAACGCAGCAGCCAATTGCGCACAGCAATGTCCCACAAACAGTCGTAGATTGAAAATGAACAATTTATGATTGTTTTTGGTTTTGGAGGGATTATTATTAGGCTCTGTGTGGAGTAAGGAAACTTGCCCAAGGTTTCGCCCTCTGCCTGGAATTGAACTCGGGTCTCTTGCTTGCAAAGTGAGTGCTCTAACCACTGAGCTACAGGACTCCACTATCCATCATCACTGTTGATTCTTAGTAAAGACTGGTATCGGTTTAGAGGTAGTTGGTTATAAGATGGAAAAGTGATGAAAAATGTGAAGACCTAATATTGTTAAGTTGGCCTGTATTGTAATCTATGCTTTTAAGAATAGCCACATAATTGGCTGCTAACATTATCTCCCTATATTAAAAACATCAGACAATTTTTCCAGGTCTGCAGTAAAAGCAGATCTTGATCCATGTTTTTTTTGCTTAAACAGAAATGATAATTATACTTTGGCAGCAATTCAAACCTAGTAATAAATATCAAAGAAATTTGACATGCTGCTTTAATCTTTTCAGCACCCTATTAAAATACTAAAAACAAAGTCAGAACATGACAATCTATGGTCATGTTTACATAATTTCTATTCTCTCTCGTTCTTTCCTTTCGCCCTAGATTTTTTAAAATTAAAAATCATTCTATTTCCCTCTTAGTAAGCCAGTTTCCTTCTGTGTTCATCAGCAAAGACTATTTGAAAATATTAAATGTGAGTGTAAATGGAGAAAATCTTTGCTGGAGTTTATGTGCCAGATTTCTAAATCTCCTTTGACATTTGGAGTGTTCCTTTTTTTTTTGGACGCATTTGAGTTGTTTGTATAATTGTGTAGTACGGTTTAACTACTGCACTTTGTTACATTAAGGATGCACGATCAATCCATTTTTCTTGATTCCTTTCTGAAATATATAGTCAGTTCACTTTACAGTATATTGTACAAACTCTTTATCCAGCACATACAGTCTGACTTGTTTAATAGTGAAATCAGCAGTATAATTTTCAGTGTAAACATTCCTGACCACCTCGCAGATGCAGTTTTCTAAGTAGCATGTGGTACAGTGATGGGTGTAATAAACTGACGCTTACTGATTAGGAGAGAGGTAAGATTGGAATTCCTTCATTACTGCAGACAAAGTATTCACCAAAAAGTCAGTCCTAAGGGATGATGGTATCTGAATGTACACATGGAAAGGAGGATTAACATATTTGATACTTAAAAAAGCTCTTTTAAAAGTTATTGGGTTTGTTAATGTACATATATATGGTTAAGCAGAACAATATAGGCTGTAAAGGGGACTTAGGGCAAAATTGACTTGTTATGCAGGGCCCCCGTAAGCTTGAGAGTCACGTATCCCACATCTGGATACCAGGTTTAAGGTCTACAAACTGAAAAAAAACTGGCTGTTATTAAACAGCCTAATTTGAACTCTTGTCATCCTGTAAAGAAAAATGTACAATAAACTCATCAGGCTGATGGTTTCCTTGTCTTGTATTTGGACTGAGCTGAATCTAAAAGATGGACGTTTGTGGTCATGTAGGGTAAGCAAAATTTACAACTTCATATTTCAGACTAGTTTTGTACTGATTCAATAACATCTGCTTACAGAAATTTCACTCCCACATTGCTGCATGACGTAGTTAAGTTTTGAAATAAACTGTCTCACTAAAACCTGCTACTGCATTTGAACTTTTATTGTCAAATGTGAATACCATTTGTCCCAGTTTCTGCAATGTTTTTTATCAACCTCCCATCTGTCGGATTATATATATTATAATTAAGTTGATACTGTTATAGTTTATTTAATCTTTCCTGCGTCGTCTGTTACGACTGCTCATTAAGCATGTGTGTGAATGAAGGTAACTTTTCCTTTTCTATTTTTTTCTGACCTAAATTCATGGCATCCTTTCTATCTATGTCTTATACATAGTACACCTTAATGGATATGTGTGTGTGGACATGTGTGAGTGAGTATAGGGTCTAAAATATATTGTATGGTTAGTTGTCTTTAAATAAAGATCTGTAAATTCAGCTCTTATTTGATAAATTATTACAATGAAACAGGGATGTTAGTGAAATCTATAAAATACAGTTTCTCCTAAAATGATATTACAGAACATCTGTAGATATCGCACATAACATTTTGGCTCTTTTCCTACTTTTAATGCAGTATAATGCTTGATACTAATTTGGTATTTCATTTGTTTCTGTTTTTAGTTCTGTTTTAGTTCTCTTGCATCACCTAGCATAAGTTTGTTTTCAAATGAGCTGTTTCTCGTTTTAGTGCTGTTACAGTTCTAGAGGGGGAATTTTATTTTAAAATTAGACTAGGGAGATTCCACAATTGTAAAAGAAAATGCTTTCCTGTTAGTATTCATTTGAGTTATAGTATTGCCTTCAAATTTGTGTTACCTACACTGTTGTACAGCTGTTTAGAGGTTATATATCCTTATATATACAAGGATTATTGTTGCTGTTTATTCCGTATTTGCAACACTTGTCTGTCATGGAGCTAGAAGTTGTGGCTGTGTCTTTTAAAAGGAATTTGTCTTAGGGAGACTTGTTTACAAAGTTTCTAATTTAGCATTTTAAAATATTGTTTTGAAGTGTTGACGTTTTCTCCAGTATTTGAATTAATGATACAATAATGTAAATAACTTGAAATCTTTGGTCCTGGTTTGAATTCTGTAACATTTTTCATTCAATTTATAGGCAGGTGTGATATTTCTGTCAGCAATACAAAGAGTTGTGTAGAAGCCATTAAATGTAGTGGGTGGTGAAACGGCTGTTGGGGAGGTTGCGTATTTTGCAGTGTGCTGTTGCATCTGATGTGTTTTCTTCAAGGTTGTTTGTCAGTGCTTAGTGTGAAATTGGTTCATTTCAGAGTAGTTGAACAAAGGAAATGGATGTCAGAGAGTCATTGACAAATTTCAAACAATATTTTAGTGTTTGTGGTGTTTCCACTATGTTTATAGTTTTAACAACAACATGCATTTACATACTTTCATTGGTTTGTTTAGGCTAGTTAGGATCTATCAACTCAAACTAAAATTGCACTGCACCTACAAATACATAGTCGCTTCACTTCACAGTAAATCTTCTGGATGTGAAAGATTGACTAGTCTATACCAAATGCAAATATTATTATACATGTCTCAGATTTTCTAAAATCTTAAACTTGTTTCTGTGCACAAGAAAATTTGGAGAACTCTTCTTATTTAAGAGCTGAATATTTGCCAGCTTTACTCAAGCCTATTTTTCTGCTTATGCAACTAGGTGGTTCATGTAGGGGGTAGGTTGGGTAAAGACTTTACCAAGTTTCATGCACAGTTTAGTTGTGTTAATGAAATAGCTAACTTTTCTGGAGGTATGTACAGTATTGTACTGGATACGCCCCCGAATCGGATGGGTCGCCCATGTTTCAATCTTGGAAGCCTCACCCATGTTTCAATTCTCAGTATGGTGTGTGGGTCAGATAAAAGTTAGAAAACCAAGAATTTGTGTGAGCATTTTGAGAAATTCTAAATGTTGGGGTGTTAACAGTATTCTAATGCTGTTGGAAAACCTAGATCGAATTTTAAGAACATTTCTTCTCCATCAACTGCCAGCTTTAACATTAAGATACTGGGATCGACACATTAATTATTGTATTATAATTGTCATAAACAGAAAATTGGTACTGTTTATGCATAAGGTTTTTATATAGTCAATACTTCTGTAGTATCGTTTGCCAAAATTAATGTGGTGGTAGATATTCTAATATTCTTTCATAACCCGAATAATTCATTTTCCCAACGTGAAAGGCACTATACAAATGTAATCTTGTTGTTGTTGATTCACTGTTTGGCAGAAACGTTTGCCCGGATTTTCAGTTGGTAGTGGAAATACGGTATTCATAACCGCTGTGACTTTAATTACAGGTACATTGGGGGAAGGCTGAGGGTAATAACGATTTTCCAAACAATCCTACCAAACAGGTAAAATTTAACTGAAATAGAAATTAATTTAGGTAGAAAGGGATTAATAATTAGTGTAATTCAGGTTACTGAGTGCAAAAGCTCCCACCTCACTCCCTCCCTACCTGTTTTTATAATCTGTCTAACTGGTACTCTCGTTTTTTCTGCTTTCATAATCTTAACCCATCTAAAAGGTATTTCTTTTTGACCGTGGCTTTGGGCGTCTTCTTTTTACACCCCCACCCATCTACCATCTATTTCCCAGCTTAGACTTCCACTCTGTATTTGTAATGCTATTCACAATACAAATGTGAATTGCGATTGCTGCTGTTCTGGCTTTGGTTATTGTTTGGTTGTTGTTGTTAGGCAGCTCTGTGACACAAACCCACAACCGCAGGATTGTATGTGGAGTGATGGTTTAAGTGGTGTGCCACCGGGATGGCTGATTTGCATTTGACTTTGAAAAATAGCTTCTGTTGAGTAAACATTTCTTTACCATTCTAAATCTGGGCATGGTGTCAGTCCATGCTCACCTGTGTCTCTGTTGGTAAACACTATCTGTGGTTTCACAAATAATACTTGTAAATTTAGTGAGAAGATTAAACGTTTTGGCTACGCTACAGAATATTAAAAGAAAATAACAAAATATATATAAAAAACTTGCTTGAGGCAATAAGCAAACATTTCCTAGATCTAGGTTACTGCAGTAAGACTGAAATTAGTTCAGTAAAAATTAATCTTTGTGTGGTGAACTGTCACAATCGCAGAGCAGTAATTTTTCAAACTGACATTTATTATCTGGGCTTTTCAGTGTAGGACAATTTCTGCTTAAGAACAGCATCATGTGCTATTATTTAGTCAATCTGCCTGCCTTGCGGTAAATTGCTCCGTAAAAACATCCTGTTTTACTGTACATAACGTGTGGATTAGCTAGTTCAGCATCAGCATGCCAGAATGTGAATTTACTATGTTACAAGCCATTTTGTTTGTTCAACATAGAATGTTGGGGTCATGAGATTTTTCTGTTTTAGATTAGATTAGTTACTCGTGCACATTTATAGTCAAATCTAGTAACTGGTTCCTAATACCATCTGTGTCAATATGTGTTACCATCTGTATCAACATTGAAGTCTTGAAAATTTGCTTGTTAAATACCAATTAATCCCATCGTTAAAGTTCCCAAAGAGTATTAGAAGAAAAAAGTTGCCATCAAAATTTAATGAAAATCTGAAGTGACATACATTGTCTTTTTTCCCTTTAATTTAGGCAGAGACCAGAAAATCTGCTGTCTGTAAGGCTGCTAAGTGAAATGAGTTTAGTCAGTCTCAGTCCAATTCCTAGTGGACTTTAAAACTGTCCATAATTTAGAAGAAATATTTCCTGAAACAAGCCATGAGGAAAGCTGATTTGGGAGTTGAAAGAATTCTAATCTACAATCTGTCTTGGTTAATTTCATACTCGTGTTCTCAATTCTGAGCTCAATCCAAACTAAATAAACTCTTTTCATTCCACACTGAATACTTTTGAAGTGTAGTGACCTTCCCCATCCCACCCCCCTTCTTCGGGGCAACTGAGTTGTGAATATGTGGTTCAGAGTCCAAGGCTCACCAGTTAATCTTGTGATGATTAACACCTTTCTGTAAAAAAAAACTGGATAGATCTGTGATTAAGAATTATAACTTTCATTCCAAATGCCGCTTACAAAAATCGAATGCCTGTGGAATATGATAGCTCCAATGAGATGCTGAGACCATACAAATGTCATCTCAAAAATATACATTGTTCTATATTCAAGCAGAACTCCAGATAAAATGGAGTTCTGCTTGAATATTTTTCGGGGGTAGGGATAAACCTTTCCTCGGGAGATTGAATGAGATGCACAGATAGTGCTCCGAAACGTAACCCTATGTGAAGAGCACTCTATAAAAGCAAATTGTTTTAGCAGTTTGAAAGGAACAAGCGTAATAGGCCTAATGGTTTTTCGTTTTATTTTTCTTATATTGTGGCAAAATTAAAATGCTTCTTTTGCTGGGAATATTTTAGCCAATGGAAAATGTAACATTTGTTTTTTTACTTTCTAAAGTGTTGAAATATTTATTTTTGGCAGTGGAGGAAAGGTAGAATTAAGTTTTAAAACCCTCATGGAGACTGGACTTTGACTTGCAAGGTGAGAGCAGAGTGTCATTCCTCTGAGCATTCTCAGTTGTGTGGAATTCAAAAACAGGATGACTAAGTGAGCAGGAATCTGGAGTGCAGGATCAGTATGTACTAGAATTGTGGTGGTTAAAGCTTATTAAGTTGAATAAGAATTTTAAAAACAACCTCTAAAAAGGAAGGTTTCTACTATTAATCAGCTGGCTTCCAGAAATAAATTCCCCAAAAATGCAAGTATTATTATTATTAAACTTGCTGCTTGATGGCCCAGTGACTGCATTTGGGATACTAATTCACTGTATGGCAAGAATCAGGCACTTGCTTTTTGCTTGGTAAAGTGGAAGAACCTTCTGCAGCTTTTGTAGGTGGAGAAGAGTGTAGCTATGAGATATAAATTGGAAAACGTACTGAACCACTTCTTTGTTGAATAGACTTCTGTAGGCTTCAGATGTTTCATTTGTTTACCCGTGTGGGTGAGAATGCTAGTGCATTTGAGTATAGTTTTTTGAGGAAATTATCCTCCCAAAATTCCTCTGTGTGCCATGATTGCATATTGTTCTGGTTTACTGTGACTTAAAAGGACTGTCTAGGTCCTACAGACAACTCAAAGGAGAACAATAAGGAATAACCTCTTTCTCCTTCCCTTTTCTCTCAGTCACCACCTCCCCAATCAGAGGGGATCTTATAGAGATGTATATATGTTAAATAGAATCCTAGAGCAATATTTTCACATAGTCCAGGGCAGCAGGACAACAGATCCCAGGTTCAGGGTTCTTGAGGGCATTTTCAGGACAGACACTAGGAAATATTTTATTTACAGAGAAAGTAATTAATGTGTGGAAGACGAAGAATGGCTGAGGAACCTTATCCTTTAGTTTCGGAGAGTGAATCAAAAAGAAAATTGGAAAAGTAGTTGGAGTTAGATTATGTTCAGTATTTTCAAACAGTGACTGACCTGAATATTCAGAATCAGTTCAAGACAACAGAGTTACTGCCTTTTTTTAACTATTTACATTTTCTCTTTTCTCCAGACTAAGTCCACCGATGTGATTAAAACCCATGTGAACAGAGAAGAAAGAGTGAAGCATACCTTTCCCATGGAGCTTGCCATGAAGTTGTAGAAAATGCTTGATGGAGCAGGTACTTTTCGAGGGCAGTCCTGTTATTTCAAGAATATACACTTACCTGCTATTTTTCCTTGAGCACAAGTGGAAAATGCAACAAATGGATCTCAACAGGAACATATTTTCTGCCTGATGACTTTTTGGTACTTCTTTCAAAATAAGACACTCTTCCTGCAAGTTTCAGCTGAGCAAAAAAAGAAAAACGAGCCATAGCTAACTTGAAACTACGTACTGAAAAGTTTTAAAACTACATTAATTTCAATCACAAATAAAGGTTAAGTGTTTTGTCATTTTTTAACAATTGTTCACATAAAAATACCTGCTAAAATAATTTTACAAATGTTCCTCAATCCAAACAACAATAGACTTTCTCTTGTAAGTTTTGGAAGATATTTACAATTGCTGCTACAAGTCCTATTTGCTCTTGATTTTTGGAGTATGGAAAGTGTTTCACCAACAGTCTGCAACCACTTGAGGAACATTTTGTATATTCTGTGACATCTGGAGATGTATTCTATTTCACTATATATCCAGCTTTAAATTATTTTTAGTTAGAAAAGTATTCTTGTGATGTTAAGATAACAGCTTACATAGTGTAACAAGGTGTCTTTTCAGATCGTTGATAATTGAAGATCACGCAATGCATTTCCCTGTACAAAGCTGGAGTGGTTGAACAACTGTCTCTGAGCAACTCATTTCGCTATTCCACACAAACCTTATGAACCAGGTTAAATTCTTTCCTCCAACCAGCTTTAACATGCACCAAGTTATATGTTGCAACTCCTGTGACCAGCTGAGCTAACTGTGAGTAAAGATTGATCTAAAGTTCAAACATTTATGATGAGGAGTACTTCTAGAGATCATAAAATGTCTGAGAATATTGGGAAGCTCTTTTCAAATTGCTTTTATCAGGTATTTTTATTTGTTCACCCAGTCTTTTAATTATGCTCCAAAATTATCAATTTACCTGAACTTCTTTTTTGGGTTTCAAAATTTGATTTCAGTTTAAAAGCTATGGTGTTGCCAGTGGTTCTTGCTCTGCATAAGGTAGTACGTAAATGCAAATGGAAGTCTACTTTCACTATTCCCAATAGACCAGAATTTACCCTTTCCTAAATGTACATATTATGTTCCTTCAAAAATCATTTTCACATTCTGCATGGTTTAAAAAGCTGCTGCTGACATTTGCTAACAATCCGCTATGGGAGTTCATTAACACTGCCTTTGTGATATCACTGCTACATCTCCACATCTACTCTACAATGATGCCAGATGCCATCAATAATACCTTTTTTTTTTCTTTTTTCCATTGTCCCTTAGTCAATTTACTGGCAGTAAAAACCTTTGATATGTATTCACTTTGGCTGTTTTCTTTCACCCTTCCTACTCCGAAAAGTAGCTGTGTTTTTAAGATGTGTTTTTTTAGGTTCGTAGTACAGTTTTTGCTTACCTTATACCGCAAAAGATTTAATATGCATAAATTGACTTTGCGGATCTGAGAAGGCTTATGTAATGCAAAATATTTTATGCAAAAGGTACAATAGAAATTGAATTACTGGTACTTATTGGACTACAGGGAATCGGAATAAAATCCTTTCAATTTTTACTGCAGCTCTAAAATGCTGCTTTCCAAACAAAATCCATTAGCAGAACCTAAATTAAAAGATATAATTGGAACAGATTCTTGTAATTTTTACTGNTTTTTTATGTATAGGCCTCATACTGAGCTGCATGGAATTGGGGATATTGTTTAAAACCATCTGGACTTCCCTGGATTGGATATGAGAAATGAATTGAAATACCATCATCCTACTACAGGGGCACTGAGACACTGAGTAACCAAAGATGTGCAGCGTTGTACTACTTACATTAGGCTAAATGGATAAATGCCACATTCAAACAACCAGTAATCTAAGGTAAATTATATTGCCTAGGTGGTATCCAAGTCCCTTATATCAGGATTTTCAGACCTCTTTTGGGTTAGCGACCAAAATATTCAGATTTTTTGTTTCCATCGTGTTCGTGAAACCTTTTTTTAATTTCCAAAATGAGTCTGGCACCACGTAATCGTGCTACACAGCCACTGTTCTAACCACACAACAGCTGAAGCTGTAGGAAGTATAAAATCCCTTGGCAGATTTAGTGTGTGTGAACTCTCGAGTCAAGTATTCAACAATTCATTTCTCTTGAGAATGAATTCAAACTTGAGACTGATTTTTTTTAAAGAAGTACTCTTTAGGGATACAGAATTCATTTCACTTGGCCTGCCTATGCTGTTTGAAAAGCCATGAATTAATTGCAATATACATTATTAAAATTAGTAAGCTTTATTTAAAAACCTGCAGTTTCTGTATTGTATAATTAGTTGCTGTCAATAAGACTCATTGTCTTTGTTACGGAATAGTCTGAACACCGTAATTGAGGGTTTACACAATCCTGCTGGACTTTGTCAACTTGAGGATATTGCCTTTACCAGGCTGTTTTAATATTCATTTGCTGGTTTGAGAAGGGAATAGGAGAAGCGAGAAACAACTATGCAGTGTACGATGCACCAATGATCTGTGCATAATCGCAGGAGATAGTTTTCGCTTTGTTCATTTTCTTTTACCATTTCACCCCCCCCCCCCCCCACCCCATGTATGAACTGCAAGTTTACAATCTCAACCTAGGCTGTGTGGGAAGCCAAGTCTCCTTCCCCTCAGGAAAATTGGGAAACAAAATAAGTTGATGGGATGCCTCTCCCACGCACACTTGTGCTTGGCAGAGGTTTATGAGTTGGTTGCCCTGTTGCTGTGGCAATTAAATGGGGATACACTACCTTTAGCAAAAGAGGGGTGGGCATAAACATTTAGATTGGTGTTTGCAGAAATTCAAGCAGCTAACTGCATCATGCCCATAGAAAAGAAACTCTACTTTCTCTAGTTAATATATCGCAACAGCATGCTGCCTGATTAGGTGGACTAGGAATCCAGCATTTGGTAAATATCCAAGGATCATCAATTCAGAGGTTGACACTATATCAAACCATGACTTGAGATAATCTCCCTAAGGTGGTCAGCAGAGTAATGGGCATTCTGCATGAAGTCAACTGTTAACATTGCAAGATGCTTTCTGAACCAGGTAAATACTGGTGCATCGGTTTTGTCATTGTTGCAAGTCAAATGCAATTTTACAATATGTGCTTTTCTCAAATCCAAATTTTTTTTGTGTTGCATTTGTCTTCATGTAGACACCAGTCTAACACATTTAATATCCACATTTTACATAAAATACTAGAATTTCCAATTCACCTCTCTCCCAACAAAGCTTGATAATGCTGGCTCTGAGATTGGTAGGCATGTCCTAGGACTTTATAAATATATATATATTTTTAAAAAGGTCTGAAAACCTTTTTTATATGGTTATTTTTGCAAAGCCCTGTATTGTCCTTCATTTCAATGGTTAGACAGACATAACAGGGTGGATTACCCATGGATTACGTCACTGTGATGAGTTTTAGAGTCACTGCAAGTCATCACATTTCTAACATGGAGAAATATGCAAAAGCCTGCAGTCTGACTGGAAAAAAACAGCTAATCTATCAAATTTAGGAAATCCTTGCGTTCCATGATGATATCCTTGCATCGCCTGGCCTGTCCATTTTCATCCAGCAGTCCTTAAATAGGAATTTTTAAAGAAGTGCCTGGTTATGCCCAAGGCACAAGAGCTTCACATTCATAGAGCTTACCTTTCCCCTTTAAGCATGAACCAACCACCAAAATCTTTGTAATAAAAGCAGATGTGTTGTTAAGGTTTTAACATGTATAGGATAATAGCTGACAGGCTTCAATCCAGAAAATTCCAGTGGATTTCAAATGTCAGCAGTACATTGGAATTGACTTGCTTTGTTTTACACCCTACTGGCTATTATTGTATATGATGTATACTAAATAATTAAACCAGTGTGTGCATTAAGCACCGTTGCATGGCAGACACAGCATTATGTAGGTAAAAGGGTAATGAAACTTGTTACAGTAATTGACGTGGGACCTGAAGCTATGTAGCATTGTGTAAAAAGTTACTATTGTGGGTATCTTTTTTGGCATTTGGCATCGGATTCCTGGTAAATAAATTATTCAGTGTATATTTTATAGATAATTGTTGCAAATACCAGATACTCGGAGCAGTGTCTACTGCATAGATTAGTGCTAATAGAGGTACGATTAACCAATAATGGACCCTTACTTGTGATAGTAATGTAATGCATGGATCAGTAATAATAACCTATGAACACTGCATACTGAACCCGTATGAGCATCGGTACTAAATAGTCGGCATTAATAGAGGTACGAACGCCGATATTACATGAGTCAATAGTAACTGGGTAATACCATTCTGGTACGGGAGGTTTGGAGGTACATGTCCACAGTAAGAACACTGCAATTAGTGACTTGATGGGGTTTGAATTCCTATGCTATTTCCTAAATCTAGTGTAGTTATAGATAATGTTAGTATCAGTGGGTACTGAATGAAAAATGTACCACATCCAATTGGGTTTGCTTTATTTTGGTACTGATCACCAATGGATATTTTTTTTTTGCTGATGGACTGAAAAAAGGAATACCAGCATAATTGTCAATAGACACAAACACCTTGGCTCCCTAAGGCTGCCAGTGTACAAAATGGAGCACTGAAGATTTACATACTGACTTTATACAGTAACCTCAAAAGCCAACTTGTGGCTAAATGGATACGGCATATGAAATATGCAATGCTTTTTATTTCTGTCTACTTGTAGTTTACAGAGTTAACTAAATTATTCAGTATTGTGCTGGAAAGCCATTTCCGGATAATGATTGACATATCTCTGCATAAATACAGAAGAAATTATTTAAAAACGTGTCTGTACATGGTACAAAACGCAGTTGGAAAATAACAAACACAAGACGAGGATAAGTACCTGCGCAATGTGAAGGAAACATTGTTTATAACTTTCACCAGTCCTTTTTTTTTAAGGCGCAAAATGGCCAGCACCTACTATTATTTGTGTCAAAGACCAGTTGCATAGCCACTGTCACTCTCTCTCACTTGCTTCTGGGTGGAAATTGTGCAAATGCTGAAAAACTGAATGAGTTGTGGGGAGGGAAGCGTTGGTTCTTTTGATAGTAAGTGAGAATCCTGAATTAAAGGGGCTGTCCCACAAGTTACTCAGACTGCTTCCTAATCCATTGCGCCTAAAAGGTCGTATTTTTTAAGCTAACTTGGAGAACCACCGGAAAATTTGTATTGTTTTTTTTTTGTGCTCCTTTCCATAATGGGAGCGCAGATACCTTCCCTCGTCTCGTGCACAAAATAAAGTTGGATCTTCCAGCCAGTAGTATGCTGCTGTACAGTAAAAGAAATCCAAGATCGAGCAATTGTATTCCTTCTGTAAATTAATTTGAAAAATGGACATATTGTTACTTTTTGTCTGTACAGAAAAGCATTAGGTTGATACGCTATATATTACTATTTCTGCACCACATGACAAGGTTAAAAAGAACTAACTTTAACTTGCTGTGTCTTCCACTGTAAATATTGTTAAGCAGTTTAATGTTAATCCACCATGTCTGTGAATGGGAGACTGGCTTAGAGTTCTGTATAGTGTTTATATTTATCACAAATGCTTTCCATAGAGCTACATGCAATAAAACTGTGTTCATGTTATTGCTTACATCAATTGTGTAATTTGTTAACTTGTTTTTGTTCCTCCTTTTTAAAATCTTTAAACTGGTATTTTTATATACTGGTATTGTCAAAATGTTGCACAAGCAATTACTGGCAGTAGAGACTTGTTATTCAAGGTCTCACAAATAGCCATGAAAGACCAATTAATTGGGAATTGTTGGCTCAGACACTGGGAGAAACTCCCTTTCTTCAAATAATTAGGCAAAGCTATTACTAATCCAGGTTGCAAATGTACCAGTTTCTCCCCATTCTACCATAGTTTTGCGGGCTTATCTTTGAAACTATGACCTGTTGAATCTTGAAAAACTGGGCAGTTCTCTTCCTGACCTCCAATATTCTGGGATGTGTAGCAGCCTGACCTGGTAAAGCTTCTACTTTAAAGTCTTATTAACTTTTTGAGTACTGTTTCCCTTTTAATGTTTAGCTCCAGTAGAGGCTCTTTCACATCCTTCTTTCAGATCCTCCTCCAACTGTCCTTTCTCTCAGAACTGAAGAAAAGTACTTATTAAACTTCTCTGCCATAGTTTGCTCCATTTGGCTCTAGACAACTTAATCCTTTAGTATCTAGTCCTTGCTCTGTTCTTCCTCTGTACCCTCTCCATATGACAACCTCGACAAGGAACTTGATGAGGAGGATAGTGATAGGAAGTAATGTTTACATATTGGTGGTGTTAGGGACCCAAGTCTGTCTTCCATTATATTTTCTCCTAATATACTCTTATTTAAGAATAAGGAGGTCTAATTTGTGACGTTACTTAACAAGGATCTCATTAGTATTCCTGTTAGCCTGTGCTGGAAGTAGACCAGAATCTTCATTGGATGGAATGTGTAACACCAGAATCCCCTCACTTGTGCAACTTGGATTGCTTGACAATTCCCATATGAAATACCACAAATCAGACCCTTGTATAACTTTTTCACTCTTCACCAGTTTACAGAGGTTCCAGGAATAGTGTGCAATACAACAGCCACGCTTACCAGCAAAGAACGGATGCTCTTTCTCTGCAGAGACAAACATTTTCTTTGTCTCAGCGGGAGAGGCAGGCGAGGGTTGGACTAAAAAATAAAGCGCTCTGGCATAACCCAAGTTGCAACATCTCTTTTCTGCTGGCTTCCACAAACAGCTTTCAGAAAAACATGTTACGAAATCACCAGTTTGCTGACATATGCCGTTCAGATGGTCACGAAACAGATTAGGCTTCAAAAGAGCTCAGTGCATTGTTTTGCAAATGACCCAAATGTGAAAGGACAGTGCCTCTGCAGGGGTTTTTTTTAAATAAAAAAAAGAATAATGAAGCAGAGTTCAAGGTGTTTAACAATAAATTCCTAGATTTTCTAGCCCTTCAAAACATGTTTTGTCCTACAACTCCAATCTCGAAGGGGTGGGGGTAGAGAAAGGGACAAGTGATTTGTTTGGCTGTGTTGCCAAAGTCAGCTCCTAGGAGGTGCACAAGATCAGCTCAAGGTGAGGCCAAACCTTAAGAGGTTCAATCTGCATGTCAGCTGCACAAAGGTCGGAAATTTCACTTGATCTTAGCCCGTGAAACCATTCTGTCTTAAAATTTAAGTTTGTGCAAAATATGGGAAATGTCTTCAGGAGTCCATAACTGATTTTATCTCTTTAACCCAAGGACATTGAAGCTGATTGAGACCCTTACTCTCATGGCAGACACCAGGGATCTGACCTCAGGCCTCCCTGGTATTTATGGCTGAGAGCCATAGCATCAAGTGGTGCACATGCCCACTGAGCCATCACCGAACTAATAAAAGAACATTTAACACAGTTGAAGTGTGACAACACATTCCTTATACAACAAAGCTGTTTATTACGATCTATAATTGGATATGTGTTGCTATTTTACTGCTGTGTCTGGTCCTGATCCTGCTGAAACTGTATTTAGAGTTGAACAATTTGCAGTCAAACTTAATGCCTTGGGATCCTTAACGTCCACAGGATTAGGCAGACAGGGACCGTATTTAACATCTCACCTGAAGGATGGCACCTCCGATAACACAGCACACCGCAGCACTGCGCTGCAGCTTCAGCCTAGACTATAAATATCCAAAAATATATTGGCCATACACTTTGTGAGACCTGACTGTGTACAAATAGGTTGCTGTTCTTGCTTTGAAATAAACAGTTACTAGACTTGACAGCAGTTCCTACTAAAGTCTTTTGAGGTACTTTATATGCAATATCAAATGCAAGGATTATTAATAGTCTTTTTTGTGTATTGCAGCTACAAGAAAGACAATATGAAAAGTTTACCCTGTAAAAGCGTACATCGGTTGCACTTTTGCAACACAATGAAGTCCAGTTTCCTCTGCAGTTTCAAATCATGTGGTCCAACAACAAGGTCAGGTGCACTCATAACAGAAGCTTGCTCAACACACCTGCTTAGCTGCAGAGCAAAACACGCAACAGAAGGAGGGTAGAGCTGAAGAAGGCCCTGAGGCACATTTGATCTCACCCTTCCACACTACTAACTGCATCCTCCCAACACACTGACTCTTGCCCTACTGTCCTCCCATCCCAGCCCTGACTGTAGAATCAGAATGAAATGAACCCTGTGATCTGCAGACAACTTCAACTGATTGGCGAGTCATTAACCAGTGGTCAAACGTTGAGAATTACCCTGACTCATTGCTGGTCATGTCAACACTGAGACAGCAGTCAACAAGACGAGACAAACAGGATGCTCGGCTATATTACCAAAACAGTTGAGTTCAGATCGTAGTCAAGCTACATAGAAGACAAGTTCTGATCAGACCACACCTAGAGTACTACTACTAATAATAATCCTTGCATTTGATATAGTGCTTTTCACGTCGGGAGGACGTACCAAAGCGCTTCACAGAATAAACTGTAAAGTGAATTGACTGTATATTTGTGGGCGAACGCGGCAGCCAATTGCGCACAGCAATGTCCCACAAACAGTCGTGGATTGAAAATGACCAATTTATTGTTTTTGTTTTGGAGGGATTATTATTAGGCTCTGTGTGGAGTAAGGAAACTTGCTCAAGGTTTCGCCCTCTGCCTGGAATTGAACTCAGGTTTCTCGCTTGCAAAGCGGTACAGGTTTAGTCACTGCGATATAACCGGCATGCCTGAGTCGGTGAGGACGAGAACTACAAGGATGATCCTCAGTATTAGAGGAATGAGCTGTGAGCTAAGGCTCTTCAGTCTTGGAAGATGTCTCAGACTTTAGAATACAAGATTTTAAATGAAACTGAGCAAGTAAACCCGGAACAATACTTTCAGATGGAGCAGGATAGCAGAATGGGATGACAGAAAAAAGTTAAAACGTTAGAAGGTGAAAGACTGAATAAATTGTAGTACTATGATCCCTTTACTCCATCTTTCTTACTCCACCATCGCTGGCCATCTTTCAGCCACTATGACCCCACTTGGGAATTCGCTCCCCCAGCTCCCTTCTCTCGCCAGCTTCAAAACCTTGAAAACCTCTCTCTTTTTCTTGTGTCAACACCCTTCAATCCTACTTGCCCTTCTCCCAATCATTTCTGTGAAGTGCTTAAAGATGCCCTTCTAAGTGAAACGCAGCATACAAGTTATTGTTGTCGCCGTTCGTCCCTTGATAATGTTCCCCCTTAAAAGAATATTGGAAGAAAAATACCTGACATGGAGGCAGCGATACAAAGTAAGGAAACCTAGCAATGGGATTAATTTTACCCATTAAATTTAAATTAATTTTAATCGTGCTATTGCAAATTTCATAACTGGGGACACGAGTTCAGCATTGGGCTAGACAAATTTAATGGCCCCTTATTTCACTTGACATTTTGAAAGAAATGTTCTTGTCCAACTAAATTAAAATTTGTGTTTCCATAATTAAGTACTGAACCATCCCCGACTAATCTGTATGATCGCTCTAGTCGGCTTGGAACTTTGCACTGCAGGTGACTGGGAGTACTGGAGATGGATTAGAGATGCCTCCGCCTGCTGGCAACGTTGGATCACAGCAGCAGTGAATGTCTGCAAACCTATAAATGAGTCAAGACTTACATTCTGCTTCGATGAGAGAGTCTGCTATCCACCCTCGACTGAGACTGGCCCAACTGTGGATATGGAAACAGAGCAGATGATGGGTCATCATTACAGAATACAAACTGACCAAAATCTTCTCAGGAGCTACTTAGAGAAGGTCCCTGGCTAACTTGGTAGCACTCTGGTCTCCAAATCAGAAGTTTGTGCACTCAGGTCTTTGAGCTCATGCGTCGGTTAATACTCCACTGCATTGCTGTGGGTGGGGGGGGGGGGGAGGTGGAGAGCGCTGCATTGTCAGAGGTGCCATCTTTTGGATAAGATATTAAACAAAGGTACGATATTAAACAAAGTGTTCTCCTGATGTCCTGGGCAATAGTTTTTAAAGGAGAACTCTGGACTCCACTTTAAGCTTCTCCGGGAGAATCTAGAATTCCCTTCCTTTCCACATTTACCAAATTGAATCAATCAGATCTGGAAAGCCAGTCAGACTAAGACCAATTTGATTGTCGTTGGCATTTCAGATGAAGTCAAGCAAATCGAACCAGATTAGAGTGTGTTAGGAGAGAAGATTGTATCATAGCTTTTGGGAGGGAAGAAACTATCACTCATTTCTGAGAAAAAAAAATGTACANTTTTTTTCTCCCCATCCCGTTTTAATGAATGTAACTGACGAAAGCAAAAGGAACAGCTTAGAAAATATCCCTGTTTTATCAAGTGAGTGTCCCAGAACGGGTGGTCCTACGTAGCAAAGCATGGAATAATGAGAACAAAATAACATGGGTCACTATCTTAAACAAAACACATAAAAAACTGATGGCAACTATTCGTCATGATTGAATGAAAGACAATGTAAGAGAAACGTGTGCATCTTTCAGTCAGTGTTTCCTTTATTTCAAATGTATTTTGTGTGTGTGCGCGCGCACACGTTTGTGTGTGGGTTGTGTGTGTATAGTTTCTTTTAAGACGCTTTACATCTGTCCTGGAGAATATACAAGGAAAAGAGAACACTTTTGGGATGAAGAGAGAGAGATCCTTACTAAAATAAAATCTACTGGCCTTTGGTAATTTTCACAATTTCATTGCGAAGATGAAAGTGTGTATATGCGTGTGTGTGCGTGCTGGGGTGGGGGAGAGAAGGAGGGAGGGGGGAGAGAGCAGGAGGGAGGGGTGGGGGGAGAAAGAGGGAGGGGGGAGAGCAGGAAGGAGAAAAGAACATGGTGGTGGGGAGGAGGAAGATATGAGGGCTGAGTGGAGTCTGGTTTGATTGTAAATGTTTTTCTTTTAAAACACAGAATCCCGTCTCCCTGTGTGCAGGTACTCCTTATGGCTAAATTATTTCACATACGCTCACACAATACAAAAGAAAAGTATATTATAACACAAAAGACACCTTAGGAAAGCTGTAATTAAGTAGCACGGTGTATATATTCATTTTTTCTTGACTATTAAAACCCTGATCGACATGAGGACCCTACAAACTTTTTACAATTCTGAACACAGAAAAAAACCCGACAATAATGCAACTATTCATTACTTTTTTTTGTAAAGGAAGGGATGCAGGGGAGGGAGGTGGGAAAGGGGGGTTGGGGGTGGGATGTGTGTGTGTGTGTCAGGGGAGGGCGAGTTAAAGGGGATTGCTTCTGATCGTCTATATAAGACAAAAGAAAACTTATCAGTAGTTTTGCTGTGAAGTGGGAGATCCCATAAAGTGAATCCATTAATATAAAATACTGCCATTTTTTTTTGTCCTCACACTTCTGTAAAAGCGACTTTTAAAAGAAGATAATTTTGTTCTTAATGTTTTTCTTTTTAAAAAAAAACAAGAAAAAGAAAGAGTGCGCTGGTGACAAAGTGTCAGGGCAGCATGTGTGTGTGAGCGCTGCAGTGTGCACTTCAAGTGACATAAATCCTGGATACATCATATACACATTTTTTCATTACTTACAAAAAAAGGACATTTCAGAAGGATTCTAATGCTTAAGGAACCTCGGGACTCAGGAACTGGTTAGTAGCACCTTTTTTTTGAGAGAGAAACTAAATTGCTTCAAAAATGAAGAAACAAAGACGAGAGGGAGGGAGGGAAGATGGAGATGGAAAGAGAGAGAGAGAGAGAATGGAATGAGTCTCATTCACTGTTATGTCCTCAGTGCATTACTCTTGTTTGAATAAACGGCAGAAAGTGCCTTGTTGGGTGGGGTGGGGGGAAACAGGGAGGGGGATGAGGTGAGGTGGGGGTGGAGGGGGGGGGGGAACAATCTCTTCTCACTTTCTTCAAGCTAAAGGAAATAGCTGCGTCTCGGTCCCGAACGCTGAGGTTTCGCAGCCAGACCTGGTTTCCAGAATGCACTCGATACTCTCGACATGAGGTACGTACAAACAAGTATTAAATGTGAAGAGTTTTTTTTTTGCTTTTTTTTTTGCTTTGCACAGTAGCACCATTTGTAAATGGAAGACAAGGCACCCTACAGGTATTATTTAGTTAGTCGTTTCGCTCTGTTCTTCTCCTCCGTCTCCGGTTAGAGATTGCCGTTGGTTGCTTGGGCTGATGCATTACGTACTCTTCATGCACACTTGGCAACGGCTTACGCGGGTGCGCAGTTCCCCGGCTTTCAGAGTCTCAGATTGCGGTTTGCTGTTGTGCGGTGAAGAGAGCGAGGAAGACGAAGGGAAGAACAAATAAAATAATTTAGTAAGGAGTACGCGAATGAAAACTGCGGACAATCTAGACTCCTCTGTCTCAATCTAGGTTCAGTCTCCATTCGAGCTTTGCCCACGCTGTGACTCATGCAGAACAATGTCCACACTGAACGGCAGAGTCCAGTGTCATTCACCACGAGGTTGTCACAAACAGGCTCGGATGTCAGTGTTCCTTTCTCTGGGGCAAATAATAATAACCCTTGCATTTGGTGTAGCGCCTTTTCACATCATTGAGACATCTCAAAGAGCTTCATGGAATATATTAGAAAGTGTACATATTGGCAGCCAATTGCACACAGCAGTGCCCCACAAACAGACGTGGATTAAATGAGTAATTTTTTTTATTACCCCAGAAAAGCAATCTGCCAATCAACTAACTACCAGGTTTCTACCTACTGCTAAGTAAACAGGCGTATGGAGTAAGGAAACTTGGCGAAGGTTTCCACCCCTTCCGGGAATCGAAAACCAGGTCCTCTCATTTTCGAGGTGAGTGCTCTAACTACTCCACAAATCCCCATTTTATCTCCAATCTCTCACCTGAACATCTCTGAGTTCTCCACTGTAGCCAGCCAGAAGCTGTAGGAATTGGCGTAGTAGTTACACGTTCCTCGTCCGTGGCACTCGATGAACGGAGCGGAGCGGAATTCCTCCAAGCAGGAGCCGGGAGATGCCAGAGCCTGGCCAGACCCCTCAGCGCCCGCACTGGTGTGCTGTGAAAAAGAACAACAATCACGAGAAAGCCTTCCCCATCAGTCATCAGGTGCTCCATATCTGATACAGGATCGACCATGACAGAAAGTCGCAAAGCGTTTCACAGGGTTTTACTGCAAAGTGTAACGACTGTTGTGAAGAGGGACTAGGATCAGAAAACCTGGCTGCTTTTAGTCTCCCCTATTCCTGGGACGACCAGTGCTAATTCATCATCCACACGAACACCAATTTGGCAACAGCAGTGGACAACAAACACCCATGAAGTGAGCGACTAATTTTATATGGGGGACTGTCGGCCAGGACACTAGGAGAGAGAAACTCCCACCTTTTCTGGACCAGTGTCATTGGATCTTTAAAGTTCACCTGAACAGGCACAGATGGTCCTTCAGTATAACGTCTCATCCAAAGGACGGCAACTGTGATAAAGCAGTGTTCCTCCCAGCACTGCGCTGGAGTATCAGCCTGGATTATGAGATCAAAATCCCTGACGTGGGGCTTGAATCCATAAGCTTCTGGCCCAACGATGAGAGTGAGCCAGGCTAATGTGAACAAGTGACTATATGGATAGGTTGGAAGAAACATGGCTGTTGGGTTTCGGTAAGAAAAACAAAAAAAGTCTCAATGTTGAAAGCCGGGTCTTACCATCATGAAGGAATATCCGATCCACAGTGAAATCCAGCCGACAGGACACCCTGGAATCTGTATGTTCTGGCTGTGAATAGCTATGACCATGGCTGGAGTCTCACACACACTGCACCTATAAGCAACAAGCAAAAACACGTCAGGCTTAACATTGAACGACAACAATAATCCTCACATTGAACACTGCACTTAGCAACATCAAAACATCACAAAGTGTTTCACAGGAAATTTATCATCCACAGGAGATCGGCAAACTTGGCAGGGAGCGGGAGTCCAACTAGCGAGCTCCTGCTCCTAACAACCCTGCAATCCACTCCATCATCCAGGCTGTCCCCAGCAGGAATTTTCAGGGAAAAGATCAGGAGCCTGGATGGATTGGAAATCTCCCCTCCCTCTCCCCTGTGGCCGACCGTCAATCGTGATGAACAGTTCAGGAGCGAGCTGCTGCAATGTACCCAGCTTCAGAAGGCTTCCTGACTATTGACTGTTGAATTGGAGACGTTGTATTCTGCTGAATTATTGATGGAAACCAGCTCAAAACATGATGTGTAATGAAAGCAAATGTCTGAAATAGCCATTGGGTGAAGTAGCAAGGTTAGTTTGGGGGGGATGGATGGGGGGGGTGGATGGGGGGGGGGAAAGATGCACCAAAGAAGGTTTTTGAAACCTTTCCACATCGAAGAGGGTCAGATGAAAAACGCCCTTCATATTTGACCGCAGCCTTGGAGAACTCCCTTCTCACTGCCCTCCCAGTACACCATTGAGCTGCTTCTTCAACCAGTCCAGAGTCCTGGCTCCTGGCCTCAACCACCCTTCCTGCAAACCCACTCCAGCCATTAATTATTAAGTGTCAGCCTGGCTTAGTGGGTAGTGCTCTCGCCTCCGAGTCAGAAGGCTGTAAATTCAAGCCCAAATTGAAATTCTGAGCTCCCTGTTCAGGCCGGTACTCCAGTGCAGCACCGGGATATGGAGCAGGCCAGAGTCTGCTGAACGGAGGGATTGGACCAGTATGTATGGGTTTAGCAGGCCACAGAGGTAGGGAGGAGCAAGGCTGTGGAGGGCATTGAAGCTGTGAACGTATATCAATATGTTTGAAAGACATCACCGAGGCAGACGCATTGGTCACCTGCTGATGAAGGGTCTGATGCTTTCCCCACTGACTGGCGCCATGCTCATTGGCATGGGCTGGGGGGTGGAGAGCCAGTACGAGTAGTCATTCCTGGAGGCAAAGTTGCAGACGTTGTTGATGTTGCAGAACATGAAGGGCATCGTGCTGAACCGCCTCAGGCAGCTCCCAGCCGTCCCTGGGCACAGACACAGAGCAACAACCAGTCAGTCAACAGAGAGGCAGGTGATTTAACCACAATAATTATATTAATAATCCTTGCATTTGATACAACACCTTATCACGTCATTGAGATGTCTCAATGCTTCACAGAATATACTGGACAGTGTATTGATTGTATTTTTGAGGGCGAAATGCGGGAGTCGTGGATTGAGTGACTTTTTTTTTGAAGAGATGATTGCCTCCAGAAAGCGCTCTGCCAATCGATTAGCAACCGGGTTCCTACTCACTGCTCGATAAACAGGCGTGTGGAGTAAGGAAACTTGCCTAAAGTTTCACCCCGCCCAGGAATCGTAAATTGGATCATCTCACTTGCGAGACGAGCGCAGTAACCACTACACAACAGGACTCCACAAACCCCAGCCCGGGTTGTCCCAAGAGACAATTCTCACCTAGATCCTGACCATGTGCCCTCTCATTGCCCTGGACGTAAAGCAGCGAGAAACCTTCGTAGATCTGTTGGGTTCCGGCAGGACAGACCGGCACATCCCTAGTCTGACTGTGTCGGGTTAACAGGAAGCCGTGAGCTACAGAAGCCGATCCAGGAGGCCCTGGAATTCCGGGAATGCCATCCGCACCAGGGGAGCCTGGAAAACCTTGATCGCCTGTTTAACAGAACATTCACACGTGAGCTGCCTTCACACAACGCCATATCGACCTGTCTGCTCCCTCTGCTTAGCGGGCTCCGGCCTGCTCCACATCCTTGCCCGGCCCGCTCCACCATTGTCGGTCGGGCCTTCAGCTTCTCTGTCCCCAACCTCTGGAACTCTATCCCACAGTCCCTTTGCCTTGCTCCTTCCCTTGCCTCCTTCAAAGCACGATTCAAGAACCCTCCTCTTCGACCACTACCCTCCCTGCCCTCCTGAAAACAGCGAAAAAAGCAAGTAGCACGTTGGATTAGGAGTCCAAGATGGGAGGAAGAAATTATATAGTCAAACAAGCTATATATTATATCCCCATTCAGAATCAACACCGTACTCAGAGGTGTTGGATAATAATGGGAAGTGCAGGACATTTCCCTGACCCTTCTTGTCTATCGGAAATGCTCAAAGCCAAGGTGACCGAAGAATAGGAAAAGACGAGGAAAGTGTTCTCATTCTCAACCATAATCTTCTAGCTCTTACCTGGTTGTCCTAAGGGACCCAATTCTCCTTTGGCTCCTTGGGGGCCGTTGAACCCAGGAAGACCCTTGGCACCTAGGTCACCAGGAAATCCCGGGGAGCCTTGAGAGAGAGAAAATTTATATTTTTGTAAAAAAAAAAGGAAATTCAACACATGTTCGTCAGTGCTCATTCTTCATTGAAAGCAATGTTGGGATCTGGACTCCAGAGTCCTGAAAGAGTGCGTTCAGGAACAGGTAAAGGCCATTCAGCCCACTAAACCTGTTCTGCCAGTTTATTAGATTCTGGCAAACCTTTTAATTCCATTTCCCCACCTTTTCTCCATTACCTTCAACTCTTCTTAAGTATCTATCCACTCGCCACATCCCTGTTTTTAAGGAACCAAAATAATTTTGCAATCAAACGCCTTCTGTGTGCCCCACATTCTCACAGCCCTACGTGTATGTGTGAGTGTCTGTGTGTATATGGGGTGGGCGGTGTGTGTGTATGTGAAGAAACAATCTCCTTTGATCTCTCTTCTAACCAGCTCAGCTCTAAAGTTGAGATCCCTCTCCCAAAGGGACATTTGTTCCCTGTCTGTCTGCTTTGGGTTTGTAAACATCACACAGCAAACCTTGATCATTACAGAGAACATTCCTTTAGTTGGCCATAACTTACCGTTCAGACCTGAAGAACCTGAGGGACCAGAAGGTCCTCTGGGACCAGGCCGGCCAGGTGATCCTGGTGACCCTGGCTCGCCCTTAACATACTGTAGAGGAGGTTGAGGGCCAGGTAGGCCAGGGGCACCTGCGAAACAAAGTTACAAGAATACTGATAATGCAATCGATGCATCTGATACAGTGCCTGCACATCTCAAAGTGCATCACACAATATATTGTAATGTGGAGTGAATGTATTTTGTGGGCAAAATACGTAGCCAATTGCGCACAGCAGTGTCCCACAAACAACCGTGGATTGAGTGCCCTGTTTTTTTTTGTTGGAGGGATTATCACCCCCTGAAATCAATCCGACAACTGACTAACAACTGGTTTCCTACTTACTGTTATGTAAACAGAGGTGCATGGAGTAAGGAAATTTGCCTAAGGTTTTGCTTGCGAGGCGAGCACGCTAACCACTACGCTATGGGACTGCACAAAGGTCCAAGAAATGAGATCGATGGGGAAAAAGAACAAAGGGAAAGAAATTCAAAGAGAAGGAACATTTTAAACAAATTATTTACCTGGCAATCCAGGCGGTCCCAAACTTCCTGGCTCTCCCTTAAGACCATATGGTCCTGGGTTTCCTTTTGCTCCTGGGAAGCAAAATACAAGGGCCTGGATTAAACAATTTTTCCAATAATGCTCAATTATCACTTAACTAATTAGTTAACAGGTAATTATTAATACACTCAGCATTGACTGTTAGAATCTCACAAACATTTGAACTAAAATACTAGAGCATTCAAAGACATCCCAATTCCCCACCAATAATGTCACACATTTAATTGCTCCCTGATTGAGGGGTCTAATTTTTGGTATTTCTTGATGGGATTCCTACATAAGGAATATCAGGAGTTGCAGATACTCTGAGGCGGAGTTCTCATGGGGTTGGATAGGATGGAATATTGCAAAATTGGTATTTCTAAATAGGGGTGCTGAGATCATAACACATCTATCTTATGTCACTTGTGTGTGTGTGTGTGTGTGTGTGTATGTGTCTGAGAGAGAGAATTTTGGAAACATCACCGTCAATGAAACTCAAGACATTCAGAAGAAGGCTGAGCATTCCCTGGGCCAGTGTGTACCACAGCGCCAACCCTGGCCTATTACTGCACACCCATGAAGAGCAAGATCTGACGATTGGTTGAGGTGTAAAGGATTAGTGTTGCTCAGTAAGCTCTTGCCCTGTCAGGCCCTCAATGGCACGAGGAGCCAATCACAGCGTGTCTCCCCACTCCCTTACCTGGGAATCCTGGGATGCCGGTTAATCCAGGATCTCCTTTGTACCCAGGCAGCCCGGGGTTCCCCGGAACACCCTAGAGATAAAAACACGGCAGTTTACAGCAAAGAGAGAATGAGAGAGGAGTTTCCTCGCTGGTCAAAGCCAAGCCAGTCTTTCAGGTGGAATCACCCTTTCCTTACACCAGCATAGATCGCACTAAACGTGGGAGGCAATGGAGGCTTTACTCTCCTTGGCTCCACCACCAACCTGCAGCATCAGCCAACTTCAACATCCACTCAGTTGGATTGGCCAGTTTCTTGCAAGGTGCCGGCACAGACATGATGGGCTAAATGGCCGTACATTTCTAGGCTTCCAGTTATTAATAATGTGAATAATAATCCTTGCATTTGATATAGCGCCTTCCATATTATTGAGATGACTCAAAGTGCTTCATATGATATACTGTAAAGTGAATTGATTGTGAATTTTGTGGGCGAAAGTTATTAACTAACGTATTGATGTTACATAACAGTTGTAATGTATTCATGTTAAATAGGCATGTGCGCAACCGTAGATTCTTCCCATACCTGTGTTCCTGGCAATCCCGGCTCTCCTTTAAGCCCAGGGTAGCCTGATGTCCCCGGAAGCCCAGGCTGGCCTCTTTCTCCTTTGATGCCCCCAAATCCTGGAGGACCTGGTGATCCCATTGGGCCTGGAAGACCTTTAGACCAGCAAACTCATGTTAGGCTTTCATTTCAAAGCAGGTCAGGCACAAGCGCTGCAACAACTGCTAACAACTACTGTTTAGCTCAGTGTTGGGCCGATTATTGAGAATAATTCCAAATGTCAGGACTACAGGCAAGGTCAGGGTGTGTGAGTGGAGAGATCTCCCAAGGGCTGGGAATGAATGAAGTTAAGATGCAATGGAACACGCGCAGAGATTGAACAAAGCCACGAGAGTGAGCGAGCGAGCAAGGCAGGAACGAAACGAGATGTTGCCTTGATTTGTCGTCATCATTGAGATCGCTCCCTGCTCTCTTACCTGACCTTCCTGGCTGGCCTGAGAGCCCGGGAAGTCCTTTGGGTCCTTCCAGGGATGGCCCCGGTGGTCCTGGGTCCCCTGGCTTGCCTTGCTGACCTGGGAATCCTGGGAATCCTATATCACCTTTAGTACCCGGAGCTCCGGGACCTCCTGGGATGCCTGGAAACCCTGGGTCTCCTTTTGTTCCTGTTTAGGAACAGACACAAGAGAGTAAATGCTTTGGGACCACTCTTGTACCTCTCTCTGTAAAGTCCCTGCCAAGATATCTCTCTGGAGGGCCTGAACTTATTGAGTAATGTTCTCTGCTGATTGAATGAGAGGAGAAAATTACTGCCATCCCAGCTCTTATCCTACAAATTAATTTTTCTAATTGTTTATGAATGGAACGGGAAACAGATACAACCTGAGTCACATTACTGAGTCTATGAACCACACCCATGTGAGATTACTATCCACTGGGCGATTTACAAAGCCACATGGTGGGAAGCCTGGAGAGAAGGGCTTGATTTGGATTACTTCTGGGAGGTGGGAAAGGAGAAATCTACCAAGGTCAGCTTGTTAGTTGAACCAGTCACTGATGGTTACCTCCTCATAATTCAGTGCTCTTGCCCAACCTGCGCCTTATACTCTCCGGAATTAGATAACAGGATGTATCCCTCCAGAGAGAGAGTGCGGATTCCATTCCAACAATGTGTAGGTGGGATGTGGGGAATTCTCAGTTGGGTTTGGAGACTCTTAAGCATGGTGTTGGGCTTCCGCATGTGTCAGACACCCAGCTAACCTCCCAAAAATTATTAATTCCTGATGATAATTCCCGTTCTCCAGATGGCTTCCTTACCTGGAAACCCGGGTAGTCCCGGGGCGCCCGGGCGGCCCAGCCCCGCGGGACCTGGAGATAAAACCACATTGATCAGGTCAGTGGGTGGAAACAGGAAGAATCATTTCAAAACTGAAAAGAGAATTGAAAACATCTGACAGATGTGAGACTGTTCTAAATGCCCATCATTCAGTGTTGCTCGCTCCATCCGCTCTGTCAACTCAAGCCTGCTCCATGTCTACCCGTCCATTTCCCCCCCCTCCATTACCCCTGCCCGTTTCCCCACCCCCATCCCACCAGGAGTGGGTGAGTTTTCAGCCACTTTGCCTTGCTGTCTGGAACCCTCTGCTTCACTCTCCACTTTTGACAGCGCCTTCGGCCACCTCCTCCTTACCCCTCCTACCCCAATCGCTTGCCCAGATTCGACTACCCCTCCAACTCCATGAAGCGCTTTGAGATGTTCTCTCAATGTGAGAGGAGCTGCAGAGGAACACCTATGGTGGCTGTTGTCACTTAGCTTGGCTGGTTATTGTTGTCCTTAGACACTTATTCAGCTGCTCGGACATTCTGGATCTCAGTCGCTCTGAAAGCCTCCCTCAAAGGTACCACAAGGGGGGCTCAAGCCTGGATTTGGATCAGGAATCGAACCAGGCCATCGTCACAGGAGTCACAACCAACATCTGGTCAAGGTGAGTCAGTACGATCCTTGGTCTGGTTACCATCTCAGAGCTTCTTCTACACTGATTCTCCCCATTCCCCACCTCATCTCTCTCCCCCAGCCCACCACTACTAACATTGTGACTGCGATGGACACTCAGCCGAGAGGGAGCATTATAGAAGGCACCATTGCTGTTATAATTTCTCCCACGCCCCGGTTGGGTTGAGTGCTGAGGGGCACGAACCAACCTGGGTCTCCCTTCATCCCAGCGGGGCCTGGAATACCGTCACGACCCGGATTTCCTTTCTCGCCAGTCGGCCCCGGGAGCCCCGGGCGTCCCCCCTCACCTGCAAACAGAGCCATCAATTAATTCCACACAACACTGCAGCGCGTAAACAGGCTGTGAGGCCCAACCACACCACAAAATGTCTGTGTCTATACTCCACTATCCCTCACACCACTCCTCATCTCCTCTCCTGCCTCGTTTCCCCCACAAAATACACAGTCACTACACTTTACAGTATATCCTGTGAAGCACTTTGGGATGTCTCAATGATGTGACAAGGCGCTATATCAAATATAATTATTATTAACATCTCCTCTCCTTAGATCCGCTCCCTCACCAGTACCAGAAGAGAGAAAGAGAATCAGTGCCTTTATCCGGGGATGAACTTCCACAAGAATACGTTCAAAGGTAGAAACCTTTACATCACTGACGTCTCTTGATTTACATTTTCAGATTTAACGTGAAAAATATTACTTCTAAATAAAATAATTTGCTGCGTCACTCAGATCCAAATGCAATATATAGTTTATGAAAGAAATGAAACTCGCTCGATTGAAGGGATTATTTCCCCCCAGAAAGCAATTCGCCGATCAACTAACAACCGAGTTCCTACTTACTGCTGGTAACAGAGGTGTGGGGAGTAAGGAAACTTGCCCAGTGTTTCAAACCCAGGTGAGTGCTCTAATCACTAAGCTACAGACTGGCATCAAAGCCCAGAGATACCTGAACAATCAAGCCTAGAGTTCATTCCAATTTGCTTCACGCTGCCTGCCACATACCTGGTAACCCAGGTGGTCCCATCAGACCTGGCCCACCTGGCAAACCATCAGGTCCCTTGGGGCCAGTGATGCCAGGGTTACCTGTAAGTCAGAGGAAGAAACAACAAATGATGTGGTGAGTGAAAGCCTCATAGAAAAATGATTGCCAACACTGAGAATAAAGACTCTTTGTGCCAAGTGTTCAGAACGCAGAATTCATATGGAAGCAAGTTGCCAAACAGTGACTGGTCATTCAAAGGGCAAAGATGCCCAAACTCCTTGAGTCCAAAGTCACCTAGTTCAAAGATATCTATCTATATATATATATATAATAGGCCACTCTAATTCTTTCCCAAAGCCAGATTAATATACTTCTATTTTTGCATTTTATTTTGAATGGGTTGGGGGAGGCATAGGAAAGAGGAGAGAGGTGGTGAAAAGTTTTTCGTCCATCCAGTTTGATGCCTGCATCCAAGATGGCGGGTGTGCATGGCTTGCTCCAGAATGCCCCTGTTCTCTGACCACACCTACAATGCCTCCTCCCTCCAATGGGGGACGCTGCAGTCTCTCCAGCTCAGCGCAGCTTAGCTCAGTAGCTAATTGGGCGACACTCACCTTGGTACCCTGGAAGGCCACGATCTCCTTTATAACCTGTTGCCCCTGGGAGACCAGGCAGACCAGGGCTTCCCGGAGTACCTTTGACTCCAGCAATGCCAGGGAAACCGGGCGAACCTGGATCACCCTGAACAGGAGAAACGGTGAGAGAAAGGGGACAAGTGAGAGAGCAGTGGAGAGAGAAGACATTCACGTTAGTCCCAGTCATCCAAGAAAGTCTGGGTGACTGGGACTAACTCAACAGACCAAGATTGAGCACCATATAAACAGCAGACTTTCTGATAAATGGTATTTTGATATTTGAAGGTTTTGACTAATGTATATAATAGAACTCACACATTATATAATATAGTTACACAAACACACACACACAACATATTTTGGTTCTGTAGTGCCCTTCACATCACTGGGGAGAAACGATAGGTGACCACCGACATGACCGAAGAGCTAGGTTTCAAGGCGGAACTTGAAGAGAGATAGAGTAGGGGCTGAGATGGAGGGGTAGGGAGATTAAGTGCAGAGGTTAGGGGACTTAAGGATCTGCCAAACAGTCTGCTGTGTAGGAGAATTGGTGCACACAGGGTGTGGAGAGTGCATCTGTTCTCTGCCTGGGTCACGATTGTGGTAGTGAAGGACAAAGAAGTGTCAGGCTGTGGAGAACAGGGGAGCTACGCTCATGGGAGTAGGAGGAAGAGCTGGTTAAGGCGGGCAGGAGAGGGAGACAGTTCCCTCCCCCCACAGAAAAGACAGCAAAGTGACATTTTGCGGTGAATGGAATTCTGCATGGAGATCAATCGAGACTCACCTTAGGCCCAGGAATCCCAGGGTAGCCAATTGACGGCACCCCCGAGTCACCTTTTTCACCTTTATATCCTGGGAGACCAGAGGAACCTGGAAGCCCAGGACGCCCGGATATTCCTGGAAAACCTTTAGCACCCGATGGACCTGCAGAATGCCAATAACAATTCGCATCACATCTGCCCTTTATCACAGGAACACACACATAAAGAAACAACAAAAACATACAGTTCTCAGGAATCGCAGGATCAAATAATATCTCCTACACTCGCGCCTCTCATCATTGTATAGCTCTGGCTGATGTTGAGCTCAAACTCAGGGTGGGTTTTGAGGCCGTTTGGGGATGACTGTCTAGCAACATGTTTTCCGTGAAGAACCGTACCTGGAAACCCCATTTCTCCCATTGATCCTTTTTGGCCTGGTGCCCCGGGAAGGCCAGACTGCCCCGGGTATCCTGGGTCTCCTTTGGGACCTAAAAATAATAAGATATAAAATGTTCAGTTCTCAATCGTTCTCCCTAGAAGTGGGGGGGTGGAGGGGGGGGGTTCTTCTCCATTCCTTGAGACATCGTCCTCCTCCCTGCCCCCACCTCCCCATCACTACCCTTGAAAATATTTATTCAACAGCCAACCCATTATTGCTGTTACATCACATGACGCAATATATGTGAAGCGTCGCTTGGAAACAGACACGTCGCTGATTTGTATCCAATACATAGAAAGAGCAGGAAAATGTCCAGACGCACATCGGGTCCACTCCCTGGACAGATAGTCGTTCATTTTGTGGCTGTTGCTGGGCCCAAACTGCCTGCCACATATGTCTATAAAATACACAGTCACTGCACTTTACAGTGAGATCCTATGAACTGCTTTGAGGGGTTTCGTCCCGGTGGGGAATCAAACCGGCTTGCGAGGCAAGCGCGCTAACCACTATGCTGCGGGACTCCACTTTGAGGGAGTCGCATGTGAAGTTCTGCCTGTTTATCACCACCATGACTGGGACCCTCCTCACAGTATATAATATAGCTGGTGACTCTTTGCCTTTCGCTCTCACCTGACCCTCCAGGTGATCCTGGTGGACCATCTTGTCCCAGTGCCCCTGGGTTGCCAGGTAAACCCGAGAAACCCTTTTCACCCGAATACCCGGGCGAACCTAGAAACAAGAGAAGAAAATGTTTTACCACATGAACCCCACACTTCTCAAGCCAGTTAGACCCGCGAGTACGGAGTAATGTGTGCTCCAGTACCTTGTCTTTTGGAGTTTTTCTTGCATTGTTGGCGTGCCAAATTAGTCCAATGTTTAAATACATTGGGAAATGTTTTGCTGGTACATGGGACATCTCTGTTACTGGCATACCTTGTGCAAGGCTAAAGATGCCATTGGATATTGTTACCCTGAGGGCTGCTCACTCCGGGCCCATGGTTAGAGATGGAGCACTAATGCCATCGGAGAATTTCAAGCATTTAACATTGAGCTGTGTAGGTGGTGAGCAAGGGTGACAGGCACAAAAACACCTCAGAAGATCAGAGAGAAGAGATGTGGGCAAGGAAAGACAAAGTGGACCCTGGAATTCGACTGGGGTTCCTGCTGTCACGTGTAACATGGCCGCTGACTGAGCACTGTACACTCACAAACACAACCAATTCTATCCATTGAGTGACATCAACAGCTGGAACAAGGTTGCTGGGAAAGGTGCAAAGAGGCCGGAAAACTGGACTCGGTTAAGAAACAGCTTGATGTTGTAGGGTGAGTTTCCTGGCAGGATGCCATCAAGTGGGGCCCGAATCTCTCTTGTGACTTGCGACTGAATAAAAGAAGACTGAAGAGTTGCAAGTCTCCTCCACACATCCCCTTGACCATTTTCCCCTCAAGTCACATCAACGACATGATACGTGGTCGTGGAGAATTGTATCAAGTGCCTTTACTGAAGGAAGGGAAGTGGGGATGGAAGGAGTGAGGGAGGAGGAAGGAAGAAGGAAGGAAGGATCATCCAACCTGGAAATCCCGGATCTCCTTTGGGGCCTCTTTGAAACATTGCGGGGTCAATGTATCCAGGAGGGCCAGGGATGCCAGCCTCGCCCTTTACACCTTGGAATCCGGGCTGACCTGTACTTCCGGAGGAACCTGGACGTCCTTCATTACCTTGAACATTGGGAAACAGATCCAGGTCAGAAGAACAAAGAGAAACCAAATGAAAAAAAGTCATCATTAACCCTCCCTCCAGGCTGCTACAAGACAGCCAATAAGCATCTCTCTCCAGCCTCAGGAAGGGCTAGACACCTAGGCAGAAGCAACCATGCTCGGTCCAGTCAATTTATTCCTCAATTTATTCCACTCGTATCAGCAGCGATCAGAGAGGGCTCCTTGCCTGTGCATTCCTTTATTGGGTGTCCACAAAAGCAGTCACTTCACTTGACAATAATTACTGGTAAATGTTTTCCTGCCACTTACCTTTTGGACCCTGAAAGCCAGGGATCCCTGGAGAGCCAGCTGGACCTTGGGGCCCTGGAGTCCCCATCACACCCATATCACCCTTAGCACCTGTGGATAAAGAGAAAGGAAATCAATCACCAGGAGCAAATCTCCTACCGCCGATCTCCTTTCACCCTCGAAAAACAACCGGCACACATATAGGCAGAGAAGAACAATGTCCTTTTACCAGAGCCACAATGTGTTCCAGATCCTTCCCCTGGATCTCCCCGGCCAAATTCCCTCCGCCCCACACCCTCCCTCTCCTCTCAGAGACCCTCTGACGACATACATCATACTTCAATCCGTGCCATCGGTTCCCTCATTCTGTTTTCCTCCTTACTTCCCACTGTGCTCCACATTGTCTTTGTAAAGCACCTCTTCCTTGTCATTTTGATAGGTGTGAGGCAGGAAATTCCACTCACCGGGAAAGCCTGTGAATCCGTCTCTTCCTGGAGGACCTGGAGTGCCAGGAGGACCTATTGCCCCAGGGCCTCCCGGGAATCCTGGGTTTCCTTTGTCGCCAGGAGGACCTGGGAGATCGAGCCCCAAAGGCCCAGGGTCCCCCTTCTCGCCACTGGAACCCGGTATCCCTACGGTTGCACCAGGAAACACGTTAGCACCAGCACACTTTGCAACACATAGATAGGAAAGAACCAAATCGCTCATCCCTCCCTCCCACCCAATGTTATAACATAACTCCCCTTTTCTCCCAGTGCTAGTCATTCAGTCTTCTCCCAGGGTGGGGCAGAACATTTACATAATAATATTAATGTAAAGTCTGGGTACGCAGAAGGTATTACCGATCTCTATCGATTAACCCGACTAGCTTTACTATCTCTTGGGAAACAGTTGGATGCCGTGACTGAGTGATGGTGGGACTGGTTTTCTGGAAGGAGATCAAGTAGACCAAAGGGCCTTCTTCATCGGAACCTCTCTTCTGATCTCAAACTACGCAACCACGGCAGCGGTCTCTAGTTAACACGTTGTCCTCGATCTGTAATGAGGAACAAGGTGTTCAGAGCTCTCTCGGCTGTTGGCTCTGATGGCAAAGGGACCGCACGGTGTTAAACTGGGACATGTGGCAGGAGATTAATGTTATACTTAAAGTAAAGAGGTCAGTCCTGGGGTGTGTTCCCACTCACTCTGCTCAAATGTTGATATGAAGTATTCCTCAGTGGGGTCAGGTGATCAGGTAAAGCATTGGTAGATGCAGAGTAAACGTTGCTCGTACGCTACTCAACATTACACCTTAGCCTTAGCTGCAGCCCAGACTGGACAGTGAAGGCTTTGGACCCAAACTGAGGGTTGGATCAAGATGGGTGGAGGACAGGCAGGGTAGGAGTAGGAGGGTGACCGAAGGCGTGGTAGAGGAAGGTCTTGAGATGGGCGTTGAAGGAGGCAAAGAAGGGGGGAGGCGAAGGGACTGTGGAATGGAGTTCGAGAGGGAGGGAGCAGAAAGGCTGAAGGCCCAACCCCTGATGGTGGAGCGGGCAGATCGGAGGGAGCGGCCAGGTCAGTATGGAGTTAGCAGGTTACAGAGTATCTGTTTACGAGCAAGCTACGATGTGCTGACGGGAAGAGTTAAAGGGGCGGTTAGAAGAAAAATTGCATCAGGCAGAGGAAACCCAGCGTCACAAGCAGCGGTCAAGGTGGAACATTTAAAAGGAACTAGATAAACATCCGAAGAGAAAAAAGAGCAGGAAATTGGATTAGAGTTGTTAGCAAGAATGGAGGAGCGGGAACAGCTTTAAGCTCGCTGGCTTGAAAGGCCTCCTCCTGTGCTATTATTTCTATGATTTGTCTGAACTAAAATAGTCCAGCCCGCGTCAGTGTGCGTGTCCAGCCCGCGTCAGTGTGCGTGTCCAGCCCGCGTCAGTGTGCGTGTCCAGCCCGCGTCAGTGTGCGTGTCCAGCCCGCGTCAGTGTGCGTGTCCAGCCCGCGTCAGTGTGCGTGTCCAGCCCGCGTCAGTGTGCGTGTCCAGCCCGCGTCAGTGTGCGTGTCCAGCCCGCGTCAGTGTGCGTGTCCAGCCCGCGTCAGTGTGCGTGTCCAGCCCGCGTCAGTGTGCGTGTCCAGCCCGCGTCAGTGTGCGTGTCCAGCCCGCGTCAGTGTGCGTGTCCAGCCCGCGTCAGTGTGCGTGTCCAGCCCGCGTCAGTGTGCGTGTCCAGCCCGCGTCAGTGTGCGTGTCCAGCCCGCGTCAGTGTGCGTGTCCAGCCCGCGTCAGTGTGCGTGTCCAGCCCGCGTCAGTGTGCGTGTCCAGCATGTCTGTGTCTTTGGCATTCAGTCCTAGCGCCACAAAGTGACATAGAGGAACACAGGGCACAGATATTGTTATCTCCCTCTGCGGAAAGTCAAAAGAAAAGCAAAAAAAAACCAACACAGAACGCCTTTTCAATGAATCTATTAAAACCACCGGCAACTTCCGAAAGCAAGTACCTGGTTGCCCTGAGCAGGTGGAAAGGTCCGCGTGTTAGGGTCGCCCGGCAGTTGGCAGTCACCAGTAAGCGGTTACAGGTAGCCCGTAAAGCCAGTCAGTCATTGGTTAGAAAACAAAACCAAGCAGATTGAAGTTTGAAATAACTTCAAAAACACAGGTTAATGAAAACATTTTTTTCAAAAAAATGGTTTTCTTTCTTCTCCCCCCGCCCGCCCCCGCCAGCAAATGCTTCATAAAAAAACTCGATAACACCCAAGTATCAATATTGACGATTGATTGATCTTTTTGATCCCCATGCCGCTCATCAAATTTTTAAAATAAAAATTCCCTATAAAACGAGCCAGCGTGCCTCGGGGCGGTTGAGAAGCGAGGCGGGCGGGTGGGTAGAGCTGTTTCCCAGTGTCGGTGGCTTTTGTTTGGCGAAATTCTTCCAAAATCCTGGTTCATCTCGTTCTAAAAGGCATTCATCATCCCAGTCACAGGCGAGACTCAGGCAGTGTTATTGGGAGCAGCCAATTGTTCTGTCCTGTAAAGCCATCAGCTCTGCCTGTTCAACCTCCCACACTCAACCTCTGCAATATTGATACCTGGATGGTCCCCTACCATCAAACTGCACACAACATGAACAGAGAGATATGGAGAAGTGGAAAACACAAGCCTTGGTTAGTTAGCAAGTGCTTGACATTGGATGCCTAACTGAAGTCATGCTCTGGAGTCTAACATGCAGCGTAAACACGGAACGTAACGGACCGAATAGGTGGTGGTTCTTTCCGAACATCCATCTCAATAGTGACTTCCACAGGCTTTATTAGGAAGGGTGTTCCAGCTCCTAGTTATTGGAATTGAGGGGCAGGGTGACTGTGGGGGGGGTTGGTGGGGGGTGGGAGGGGGAATTTCCAGTTGATACCCAAGGCATTTCTAAATGGAAAGCACACGTCAGACCCCGTGGTCACAGGTTAGTACGCTGAACTGTCTGATTATAAGCAGGCGTGTGTTAAGCTTGTGGGAAGAGCGTCAGTGATTGAAACAGGAGACAGTCTGTCCGTGCAATCTTGGTCTGTCCGTGGACCTCAAGTTAAAGGATTCCATCCTGCCATTCATTCTGCCTTTGCATGCGGCTGGCCCAACTCGCAAAGTTTTGCATGTGGGCTGTTAACCCAAACCCCAAGTTAGCGTAAATTCACCAGTAATTCTTCACTTGAGATATATTAATCCAGAGTTGGATTTGTTTCCCTTTGTCAAATTTCCTCTTAAAAAAAAGACCGGCCACAGGAAACATGGTGTGAGCATGTTCTTTCTTAGGCTCAAGATCACCATCTTCAAAAGTACATGGTTGGGTCAGAATTGGGGCTTCCGAGAATCTAAAGGCTGCAAATTTGAGGTCGGATTTGAGGCCGTTTTCTAAAATTCTGCATAATCAGAACGCCCGAGAATAGGAGGGGTCGTGGACCTTGTTGAAGCAACTGCTGATGTCTGAAACCTCTGTGTATAGAGGAGGCGATACACAGGACAATGAGCACTTTATGATCTATCTAGACGCTGGGCTACTAAACGAGGCACAGCTGTGGCAATTCCTACCTGGTAGCCCTGGAGACCCAGGCAGACCCTGCGGGCCTGGAAGACCTTGACCACCAATCCCAGGGCTACCTGGGCCACCGGTAGCACCCTGGGGACCTGGTAAACCGGGGTCACCTAGAGGGGGGAGGGAGATGGGAAGAGAAAAATAACAACGGGTTATAAAACCGATGTTTTGTTGAGGAACAAAGTTAATGTTCTTCACTGAATTTATTTCAGGTTCTGGGTTGGGTGGGCACATCTTATTGCTTGGGAGCCATCTCCCAATCCATTGGCCCAACCAACCTTCGCAAACATTCAAAACGCTTACCTTTGACCCCCGATGTGCCATCCAATCCTGGGCGACCCGATGACCCTGGTAACCCGGGAAATCCCGTGTCACCTTTGGATCCAGGCAGCCCATCAATGCCTCGTGTCCCGGGAGGCCCCATTGGCCCTGGTACCCCGAGCCCTGGATCTCCCTGTGTGAGGAAAAACAATCTCACCAATTTTTTGAAGATGGACTGTCTTCTCGTGCTTTCCTTCATTCAACCCATCAAGCCCTCACTTCTACCCTCCCACCACAAAATGGGGCTGATAGGCTCTCAGCTGTTTTTGCATGCTTAAAATAGTAATAATTATCTTTGGATTTGATACAGCACTTTATCAAGTCATTGAGACAACTCAAAGTGCTTCACAGAATATATTGTAAAGTGGAGTGACTGTGTATTTTGTGGGTGAAACTTGGCAATCAATTGCCGACAATAGTGTCCCACAAAGAGTCATGGACTGAGTGACCAAATTATTATTATTTTTGAGTATTTATTACTCCTGGAAAGCAATCCTCCAATTGATTAACAACCGGGTTCCTACTTACTGCTAGGTGAACAGAGGCGAGTGGAGTAAGGAAACGTGCCCAATGTTTTGTCCTGCCCAGGAATCAAACCCGGGACCTTTCACTTGCGAGGCGAGTGCTCTACAGGACTCCTCCTGCCGCCCATTCAGAAAGTCACCAAAGAGACAGTAAATTACGCACCTTTGACCCAGGACGTCCTGGTTGACCTGGTAACCCATCCAACCCTGGTCTCCCCGGACCCCCTGGAAGCCCTGGTGGGCCTGTCAGTCCCAAGAAACCTGGGAAGATTAAATGGACAACACACACCATCAAAATATTACTTTCGGGAGCACAGAGCTCGATCCATCGATATCCATCCACAGGAACCTACCTTTCGGCCCTGGTGGCCCTGGGAATCCAATCCCCGGCACCCCCGGATCCCCCTTCAGTCCTTGCTGACCTGGTAAACCAGGCTGTCCGGGCAGGCCAGGGTCACCTATAGGACAGATGGTGGGAAAGTCAGTCTACAATCTATACAGTATACAGGACGCCCAGGTTACAAAGCAGCTTCCTAGCAAAATGTTCCACTGACTAGCTTTTCTTGACCTCAACGATCGATGACACAGGACGTACATGTACCATTGGGTCTAATTTGCAGGTTGAACAGCATGCAGGTGCCTTTATTTACAATAATTAACCAATTAAAAGGTTTAGGGAAGCCCCCCCACCCCACCTGAAAATTAATACGTGTACATAACTAAGGTCATTCATATGCACACGGATATTGCACATGGATTGTTAAACCCAACCCACAAGTCAGACCGTGATGCTGGACTCTGGGTGGCTTTACCTGGGATACCTGGCAGCCCAGATTCACCCTGAGGCCCTGGAGAGCCGGGCTGTCCAGGTTGGCTGATCGTTCTTCCCGATTCACCTTTGGGACCTGCAAGGAACAGAGGAGGGTTAGCCCTGACCCATGTCAGTGTAGGAAACATCAACCTGCTGGTAAATCCCCGAGTGCTTGCATTGACAGTCAGTCAGCTAAAACTGCAGCTTGCCACTGTGGGCATTCGCTGTCAAGATTCCTCCGGCTTCCTACCTGATAGGGCGTTGGCTCACAGGGTTAACGGAGCCTGAATCAAACAAGAAGCTCTTTCAAATATCTGTGGGAGTTGGCACACACACATACACACAAGACCCACCTGGGATTCCGGGCGATCCTGGCCGGCCTGACACTCCCTGTTCACCTTTTCCACCGATGGGACCTGGGAGACCAAACCCTGGTGGTCCTGGCGGCCCTCGGTCTCCTGGGAATCCTGGTTGCCCTGGGCTTCCTGGTTGGCCTCGCTCCCCTTTGAAGGCCAGTCCACCCTGAAAGAGTTCCGCTGCCGTTAACTGAACAGAATGTGGGTTGTTCTCGTCACATGGCCAAGGATTTTCACACCGATGTCTTCAGCGCAGAGACATGGTGGTCAGGACCTTTCTCCCGCTCGCTTTCCCTGAACGTAGACTGATGGAAAGTCTACTCTGGGGGCATGGAACTCTAGCTCTCAATTTCAAAAAGATGAGTCTTTGAATTGGAAGCCTCATCACCCAACTCCAACCCCAGCCCTGAATCTCATCCCCAACTCCAGCTCCAACCCCTCCCCAATCTCAGCCCTCAACCCCTCCCCAACCCTCAACCTAACTCCAACCCCAGCCCCCAAACCCTCCTCAACCTTACCCACAAACCCAGCCCCAACCCAACTCCAACCCCAGTGAGCATGGTTCATTTCCCTGGATGCCTGGAGTAGCAGAAATACTTACAGGTTCGCCTTTGGGCCCTGGTAGCCCAGGCGCCCCATCTCTTCCTGGACCTCTATCCAATCCCGGAAGTCCTGGGGGTCCTGAGAAGCCAGGGTCGCCTCGGTCACCTTTCGGACCCGGAAAACCGAAGCCGCCTCCTGACTCGCCCTTTTGACCAGCTGTCCCCGGGTACCCTGGGGTACCAGTCCCCCCCTAGAAAGAACCAAAAGAGAAGCAAGAGTATCAAAGTCACTGAAAGTGAAACCAACTGTTAGTGTTTACTGGACAACAAACATTTTATTTATTTACACAGCACCTTTCACGACAGGAGGATGTCCCAAGGCGCCAGACAATGAAGGGATTACATCCAAGATGGGGGTGGGAGTCAAGAGGGGTAGAGGGTAGGGAGGGTTTGGGGCTGGGAGGATTACCATTGCTGTGGTCAAAGAGGAAGGCCTTGAGACGGGCCTTGAGGGAGGCAAGGGAGGAGGCGAGGCGGAGGGGTTGCGAGATGGAGTTCCAGAGGGTGGGGTCAGAGAGACTGAAGACAACAACAACCAAAAGTGAGGTTAGGAGGGTTTATTTATTAGGCACGTAACACAGTGACCAAAAACTAGCAGCTGAAGCAGAATGCAAGCTTTGCAAGCGAGAGACCTGAGTTCAATTCCAGGCAGAGGGCGAAACCTCGGGCAAGTTTCCTTACTCCACACAGAGCCTAATAATAATCCCTCCAAAACCAAAAACAATAATTGGTCTACGACTGTTTGTGGGACATTGCTGTGCGCAATTGGCTGCCGCGTTCACCCACAAATATACAGTCAATTCACTTTACAGTATATTCTGTGAAGCGCTTTGGGACGTCTAGAAGACGTGAAAAGCGCTATATCAAATGCAAGGATTATTATTATTATTATTATTATTATGTGCTTTTAAAAGGGAATGAGACAAAAGTTTGGAAAAAGAAAAAAGTGTATGTGCTGTGTGTGGTGGGGTGGAGGCGGGGGTTGGGGGCAAAGGAGGGCAGGGGAGTGGGACTAAACAGAGCTCATTCAGAGAGCTGGCAACAGGTATGTATGGTGGGCCAAAGGGATATGGGGCAAGAGTGGGTAATTGGAGTTGACGTACAGATCAGCCATGATCCTATAGAATGGCAGAACAGGCCTGTTCCTATGTCTCCTTCTGTGGCCTTGTCTCAGGCACGGCTTCTCATGTTTGAGGTGTTTGGGAGATGGTCGCGGCCACTTTGGATAAATACTTACAGTCAGCCCCGTGGGTCCCCTAGGTCCGGGTAGTCCTTTATCTCCTTTCCCTCCAGGAAATCCCGGGCGACCTGAAACCAGGGAATGGTAATTAACTGACCTGCTTTTTCCCGCTTCGACCGAGATAAGTCAAGTCAAATGACGAGCGATGTGGAGATACGAGGGCCCAGTGAGGTGGGAAAGAAAGCCCATTCAGTGTGAGCGTGACATGAATAACGTTACAGACCATCGAATGGGAAACGGGTGGAATTTAAATGATTTGGAGAAACATTTGTGAGTGAGAATTAATCTTATCAGAAGGACTCAGCGAGTGGTTTCCCATCTATCCTGATTTCCCAGTTGAGGTAAAGGCAGCGCTGTCCTGTGTTGCACTGATTCCTACCAACAAATGGTCGCAGGGTGAAGCCTTGATCTGTGCTGAGTTCACAGAATTCACTGTAAGGTGTAGTGACTGTATATTTCGTAGGCAAACGTAGCGGCCAATTTGCTCTCAGTGAGATCCCACAAACAGCCATGAAGTGAAGGCACAATTTTTTATCTGGGGGATTGTTATCCAGGAACCAGGGAGAGAGAAACTCCCTTCTCTTTTCCAACAGAGCGTGGGATCTTTACCATCCACCTGAACAGGGCGCAGACGGGAGCTCGGTTTAACGTCTCATCCAAAGGACGACACCTCTGATGATGCGGTGCGCTCTCCCCCCCAGCACTGCGCTGGAGCCTCAGCCTGGACTGTAAGCTCAGAGTCCCCCACACCTCAATCTGCCGACACGCTCAACCAATTAGCCGAAGCTCCTCGCGGTCACACTAACCCACCTGGTTCTCCAGGGAATCCGGGAGGTCCTGGAAAGCCAGGAATTCCGGGCCCTGTGCCAATGCAGTTGAAACAAGTGTCTCCGCGATCACCTAAAGGTTGAAGGAGAAATGGGATAGAGCATCTCAAAGCACTTTAAAACTCTTCTTTTTTCAGGTGCTGAAATTCTTCCACAAAGATCTCCAGGTCGGTCTCAGCCCAGAGGGTGGTGACACACCACATGGTACAATAGAGACCGCGCTTGTTGAGTCTGGCACGCCCCATCTTACAGCCACGGGTGTCGTGTCAGCGGGCGGGTGGGCGAGTGGACGCTGTGGATAAAGAGCCCTCACCTTTCAGACCAGTCTCCCCCGTGAAGCCAGGGGGCCCCGGGGCCCCAGGCAGCCCCGGATTTCCCGTCTGGCACTGCTCCCCAATCCCCGGTTCTGAAGAGACAAAACAACCAAAGCTCAGCCACCAGAGCCCAGCGGGTAACACGTTCCTTCCCGCTCCAATCTCAGCAACAAGAACTTGCTTGCGGACATTATTTAAGATGTTATTGTTGTCAATAATAATAATTATTATGACATTTACTCCTAACTGTGCACTGCTGCTGTTTATGAATAATTTACAGTTAGGAAAAAAGACTTACGTGCAATTCCTGGGCGGCCTGGAGGTCCCGGGGGTCCGCTTGGGCCTGGTTGTCCAGGCAACCCCGAGGGCCCTGGCAGTGTGGGACCAGTCAGGCCCTGGTCACCCTTCTGGCCTCGTTCTCCAGGGAAACCTGGGGTGCCTGGTGGGCCTATGCTGGGTTGTCCTGGAAGAAAGAACAACAGGAAGGAAGGGAAAAGAAAATGGCTTAGCAAACAGAGAGAAATCAAGAAGTCCTTTGGGAGTGAAGTGACTGTTGGACGGGACACTTCGCTGCTACCGAAGTGTGTGTTTGCGGGGGGTGGGGGCAAGAAATGGGTTCAGACAAGTCAGGGCCAAGGTATAACTCAATGTTACGCCCTCTGCTGGTAGCCCCTGTCCACTGCACCATTAAACAGCGGGGTTTTCGGGGGTGGGGGTTCATCCTGGCCTTCACACAGGGTTAGTCACCAATCTTGGCCATCATGCATTGTGATGAGACACTGTGCCAGGAGGAGCGAGGGGTTGGGGGGTGGGGGGGCACAATGCTGGTGTGGGGGCTTGAATCCATGACCTTCTGATTTAGAGTGGAGAGACTGACCCCGATTGACGGACAGTGTCATAGGATCATTGATATCCACCCAAGCAGGCAGACTGGCCTCGACAGAGCGAGAGACCATTGGGAGGCATTCATACTGATCCTCCCCTGCTGGGGTGCTGACTGGTTTCACTGGAACGGACAGCGATGTACCCAGCCGGAGGCTTGTGACTCACCTGGAGATCCTGGTGGTCCGGGCGGCCCTGGGAAGCCTGCAAGACAAAGCGGGTGAGTGGTTAGCGCAGTTTAAAGGCTGCAGGAGAATGAGTGGGAAAGATGGTGCTCGTGGTCGGACGATGAGGAGAGGCTACTCACCTGAGCTACCGCGGTCACCCCTGCCCCCCGGGGAGCCTGGGAACCCGGGGTCACCCTTCTGTCCGACTGAGATGCCCGGCCTTGGGAAGGTCTGCAAAGCAGCGAGGCTACTGTGTGAGTCAGGTTGCAAGGAGGTCACTGGGCACAGGGCAAGATGCCCACGCAAGCAGATCCATCCAAATCCCATTCCTAATCCCGCCCAAATGCCATCCAGGTGGGACCTTTCAGTGACATGGCTGCTATCCGCCTGCCCTCCATCCTTCCTGCTCTCCCTCCCTCCCTCCCTCCCTCCCTCCAATAATAGACATCTCAAAGCGCTTCACAGAATAGACTGTAAAGTGAATTGACTGTATATTTGTGGGTGAAACGCGGCAGCCACTTGTGGACAGCAATGACCCACAGACAGCCGTGGTTTGAAGTGACCAATTTTATTATTGCTTTTTTTTTCTTGAGGGCTTATTATCAGGCTGTGTGTGGAGTAAGGAAACTTGCCCAAGGTTTCCTCTGGCAGGGAATCGAACCCAGGTCTCTCGCTTGTGAGGCGAGTGCTCTAACCACTGAGCTACAGGACTCCAATAGAACCCTTTGACAGTGGGCAGCGGGGTGAAGCTTCAAAATGTCCCCTCGACCAATCAACCAGGTCGTGGAAACACACACCAAAACCCATCACCGTGATCAGCCCGGTGTCTGACAAACACATGGAAATCTGATAATCTTATCAGAGACAGAGAAATGGGGAGTGAGGGTATTAAGGGAAAGTTACGGAGAAGAGATGGGGAAATGATCTAATAAACTGGAGGAACAGGCTGGATGCTGAACGCCAGAGACCTGGGCTGACTGGTCTCTTCTCTCTGTACCCAAAATAACTGGTCAACAATCAGACCGAGAAGATCTATCTTTCCAGTGAGTCTCCTGCAGATAATTAGGATCTGCCGTTTCTGGTCACTGGCCACCCGATGGAACCGGAGCCCCGTCTAAGGGGGGGTTGGGGTAGGATGGGGTGGTGGAGGGGGAGATCGTGGGGGGAAGATGGGGGGGAGAAGAGAAGACAATTGCTACTCACAATGCCTGGAGGACCTGGACGACCCGACTCGCCCTTCCCACCCTGTTAAAAAACAAACAAAAAAAACATGAACACAGGAGAGGCCCAAACGTTAAAGAGAAATAAAAGATTTAGATTTTTTAGATCAAGTTATCGAGAGCGAAATCACAAACTTGTACCCATCAATGGACGACATCTTTCGACGGTGACCGCCATTACTCAACGCCCACCCGCCCCCCTCGCTCTCCCTCTCTCATACCCACTTTTTATTGTTAAGAAGACCAGTCCCGTGTTGTCCCATCAACAACAAGATTACATTTGTATAGCGCCTTTCACGTCGGGAGGACATCCCAAGAACATCAAACCTTCTGTCACATTGGAATTCTTCTTCACAAACCCTCCACCTTCTGGTTCCCTCACAGCAAAGACTTCACATTGTCTCAGATGCTCCTGGAAATGTTTATGGCTGAACACCGTCGCCCACCCCCACCCCACGTGGCACTTACCTTGGCGCCATCTCTGCCTGGGAATCCTGACCGGCCTGGCTCTCCTGTCAGACCCTGTGGAATGTGAGACACACCGTCCGTTTACTGCCGTACAGATCACCACTTGCCCCCCCACACCCCCACCCACCCTGAGTGGTAAACAGAAAAAGCTCAAAGGCTGATAGGCCCTGGAGCAGCTCCACACAGCGTTACCATAATAAGAGGCTTCAGGAATTGTTAGAGAATCAACATTATAACAAAGATGCGTGTTGGGGGTGCTGGGGGCAGTGGGTGTGTGTTGGGGGGCGGGGGGTTTGTTGGGAGACTCTCGTTGCTCACCACAAGGACTTACATCGAAGCCGGGCGTCCCAAGTTCTCCATCTTTACCGGGTTTTCCCTGGTGATAAAACAAAGAGAGAAAGGGCTGAGATCAGAGAACAGAAAAGTGTAAAACACTGACCACCGAACACACCGTCAAAGCCAAAGACAGACGTGGGCGGCTGCACTTTTCTATGTTGATGTTCGGCTGGTTTGTGTCGCTCTCCTTCCCTCAGAGCGACCCAAATGCAATGCTTGTCCTCCAGGCTCAAAGCCGCCAGGTGTGGAACGGCAAACGATCGCAACCAAGAGCTCCCTCAAAGCCACCCAGTGGCCACCTTTGAAATTGCAGACTAAGAGCTCCAGCTTTCCCCGTGACTAACATCTCGGTAGTTCTCTGACTTACTCGCTTTCCTGGTTCCCCGGGCATGCCCTTCTCGCCAACGTTGCCATAGCCAGGGGGACCCTGTGAGGAACATAAAGGTTGCGGTCAGCGGTTGGGCAGGTTGGCGGGTTTGAGATGGTGAGTGCTGCGCTTAGGGTTTGTCTGATCATACTCACAGGGTTGCCGGGGTTTCCTTGGTAACCTTGTGGCCCGGGAGGCCCGATCATACCCTGGTGAGAGCAGAAAAGAAAATGTGGAAGACAGATCATTATTGTCGCATTTGATTCAGTGCCTTAACCGTCGCCCAGACACACTTAATAGTAATCCCTCCAAAAACCAAAACCAATAATAAATTGGTCATTTTCAATCTACGACTGTTTGTGGGACATTGCTGTGTGCAATTGGCTGCTGCGTTCGCCCACAAATATACAGTCAGTTCACTTTACAGTGTGTTCTGTGAAGCGCTTTGGGACGTCCTCCCGACGTGAAAAGCGCTATATCAAATGCAAGGATTATTATTATTATCTCAAAGTGCTTCATGGGATATTCTGGCAAGTGAAGCGACTGTGTATTTTGTGGGAGAGTGAAACTCCCTTCTCTTTTCGAATAGCTCCACTGCAGATCCTTAACGTCCACCTGAACAGGCAGACAGGACCTCGGTTTAACGTCTCAGCTGAAGGACAGAGTCTCCAACAATGTAACCCTTCTCCCCAGCGCTGCATTGGAGCATCAGCTTAGACCATGTGAATCCAAATCCCGACGTGGGAGCCTGAACACACAACCTTCTGACTCAGAGGCGAGAGAGCATTACCAACTGAGCCAGGCTGAAATGAGGAAAATATCTCAGTGCCGATGAATGACCTCATCCATGGATGGTGGTGGATGGTGGGGGCGTTGGTGTGGGGTGGGTGGGAACGAAGACAATTTAAACTAAAAGTAGAAAGAGAGAAACATTTCCTAACACAGAAGGGGGAATCGCAGCTGGAATGGGGTTAAGGGGGAGGGGCAGGGGAGGTTGAGCCCAGAACGCTAGGCTGATTTTGAGCAACAACTAGAAGCTGTGAAGGGAGGATGGAGTTCTGGAAAGATGAGATCAAATGGGCCAAAGGGTCTTCTTCATCCCTTATAAACCTTTGTCATCATCTTATAAACCTGTGTGCTTTGCATGCTCCAACACATGGCACCAAAGATCATGGAGGAGCAGCTGTCGGCAGAGCCGTGGTCTGGTGTGGGGTGGGACAAGCGAGCAAGGGGCGGTGGTTACCTTGTCTCCTTTCTGGAAGTCCGACCTGGGGGAATTTAACTGTTCCAACTGCCCCGGGGGTCCAGGGGGCCCCTGCAGACCTTGGTCGCCCTGAGAATGAAAAGTTACAGTTATTGGACGGAGAAAGAGTGAGAGGCTATTCCTTTGGCTTCTCCTATCACCGGCATTACTGTGTCCCAGATCACACAGACCCTCTTTCTCTGGACTTCTCGAACCATTCCCCAATACGTCAGAACCGGTTGTCCACTTGTTCCTCTGCAGTCAACCTCTATTTCCAGCTTGTTCTTTCCCCAAACCGTGACTCTCCTCCCTCCCTCCTTCCCTATCTGCCTACCTGCCTCACTCCCTCCCTGCCTCCTGCCCACAGGGCTCCTCCTCCTAGTTTCTCAATAAACCTACAATAGTGGGAACGTTGAGGTGCAGTTTGTTTAACCCTGCAGATACCTGGGGTCATTTCAGGCTGACTGTCTGACCCACTGCCTGGCTGAAGCCAAAGACGTCTCCGCGATGGACGACCGTCAGACTCTCCATCCTTCCAGCCTCCGTCCGCTATGTGGTGGCTCGTGATTTTCCCGCCGAGGAGGAGATAAAGCCAAGCGTCCCATCCCATCCCACCACCAGCGCCCCCCCACTCCTCACCCTCGAACAGACTCCAACTCGCACAATCACCAACCCGCAGGCGAGTGAGCGATTTGTCAAGGGGATAAAACAGTGGGTTTTCCTTTACCTTCTCGCCTTTGGGTCCTTGGAAGTTCAAGCCCATGTTTCCCTGTGAGGAAGCAAAGGAGCAGCGTCAGATCAGGCTGCTTGAGGAAAACAAAGACTTTTTTTTATGATAGAAATCCCACCCGCTCTTCGGACAGTTCGTCTGCCTTACCTTCTGCCCCGCGGGGCCCGGACGTCCGGAGGAACCCTGGAAAATAACAAAAATAACAAGCGTTCCCAGGGTGAGTGAGTGCAGCGCCATCTTGTGCAGAACTGAAAACATGTTCAACAACAACTTGCATTTACATAGCGCACCCCTCACGCAGGCTCGCGTCTCAGAGCACTTCCTTGGGTAACGATCTCAGCTGAAGAGGTTTTCAGGGTTTACGAATTTGACCAATAAAAACAGTGAGCGGGTTTCCCCCCCCACCCCTCCCCCCCAGCCTTAAAACTGCGAAGATGGGGTTAGGGCTTCGACAAAAACCAGGATGAAATTCTTCACGGATTGGAGGGCAATTTTGGAACGTCTGTCCCCAGAATCCCGGTGAGGATGGGGATTGAAGAGGGCGATGGATAGATCCTCAGCAAGGCCAACGAGAAAAGAAAATGGTGAGAAGTGGGATATGGGGAGGCCCCGGATTGGTCTGTGGCCGATGTGATCAAACGTTGAAGGGAATTCGGGAAGGCGCTGGTTGTGAAGAGATTATAACCCACATCTGCTGTGAGAAGACAGTTTACTTACCGGGAGTCCTGCTGGGCCGCTTGGGCCGACTGGGCCAACGGGCCCGGGTGTACCCAACTGACCCTGTGAGAGACAAGACAAGACGCTGGTTAGCTTCACGCGCACACCCGATAGTCGTGCTCACACCGATCATCTGTCAGAATCACCGTGTTTAAGAAAGGTACCATCGCCATCTAGTGGCCATCGTATGCCGTGCGGCACTAACCAGCCACTGGGGGCAGCAGAGACTCGAAACAAAACAGCCCCAGGGGTGTGTGGGTGGGGTGGGGGGAGGGCACCCAACCGTGATGTCCCCCTCCCTCGATTCCATTGTCAAGTGTATTAACTGTGTATTTTGTACGCCGACTAAATATCCAGCTTCAATGGCCAGTGTGAGCAGCTTTACAACATGCCCACGACAAACATGTGAGCGCCTGCTGGCACCACTGGCCACCAAACACCCCCCCACCCAAAGCCAAAGAGGACGTGCCCATACTCACCGGGAGCCCGGGCAGGCCGGGCAAGCCTGGGTCTCCTTTCTGCCCTGGCAACCGCGACACCTGCACTTCACCAGGGTCGCCCTGAGGAGGGAACGAAGGGGGGGAAGTGAGTTATTCGGAATCAGGCTCTAAACCACACAGCCCAACGAGGAGTGAGAGACAAATATGACAAGGTTTTAGGCCTCACCTTCGCTCCTGGGTACCCGGGAGGTCCCTGCAAAAGGAAAAACACGTTCAGAGAAGGCAGACACAACTCGAGCCCAAGTAACTCGCTGATTACGGCCAAGTTCCAACTCCCGCAGGACGCATTTCTTTACAGAAACCAATAGGCCTCAGCAGGTTTCCCAGCTCTGCCTTCGCCAGAGGCCATTTTGTTTCTAAGCCAATTTCCTGCCATTTCTCTTCTCTTCTTCCTGAGCCCGGTGGGTCGAGGCGAGGGTCCTGGGAATTGCCGGTGGCGGTGGGAGGAATGACAGTTGCTGCCATTACCGTGGGAACTTACCGGAGGGCCTGGAGATCCAGGGAAAGCTGTGGTACCCGGAAACCCCCGTTCGCCCTGCAAGAGAACGAAGAGGAGAGAGCGTCAAACTCTATTTCATAACAAGATATTTGTTCAACAGAACAGGCTGCGGGCGCCAAACTACCTTGGTTCCATTGCAGCCTGGGACACCGCTGACTCCTGCAGGACCATCTTGTCCCGGGAGACCCTTCAAAAGAGGTAAGAAAGACTACGTTTAGAGATTGTGGAGAGAGCGAGGCGAAGGGAATGTGGGATGGAGTTCCATAGGGCTGGGGGCATAGAGGCTGAAGGCCCGACCGCCAATGGTGGGGCGAGTGAGGCGGGAAACATGGAACTGGCCGCAGCCCGCTGAGCGGAGGTAGCGGACAGGTTGATAGGGGTTTTGCAGGTCACAGAGGTAGGAAGGAACGAGGTCATCCATGGAGGGCCTTGAAGGCGAGGCCGAATATTTTGAGCTCTATTCTCTGGGAGAAGATTAGCCAGTGGAGCCGGGTGGGGGTGATGGGGTCATGGAGTCTGGAGTAGGAGAGGCCATGAGCTGCAGAGTTCTGGATGCTCTGCAGCCTGTGGAGGGAGGAGTTGGGAAAGCGACAACAACAAAATATACAGTCAATTCACTTTACGGTATATTTTGTGAATCGCTTTGAGCCGCCTAATAAGATGGTATATCAAACACAGGGATTACTATTATATAATAACAACTTGCATTTATATAACACCCCTCACGCAGGGTAGTGTCCCAGAGTGTTTGACAGTAGTGGAGCACAAGCCTGAGCCGGGGGGATGGGGACTGAAGGCACTAGTCAAAGAGGAAGGTCAGACACTGACCCCCGCCATTGGTGGCCAGAGGATGGGAGCAGAGTTTTGACAAAAAGACACGTAAAACTGGTCGAAGAGGAAGGAAAGGGGCAAAGCGGAGGGATAGAGAAAAAGTTTTGGTGGCTGAAAGCGCGGCTACCGATGGTGGAACGCAGGGCACGAGGGACATGCAGGAGGCCGGAGGAATAATAATAAAAGGTGGTAATGATACGAGATGTGAGGTGATGTGGAGAGGGGGTGGGAGAGGCAATCCAATGAGGGATTTTTTCCTATTTTAATTTTTCATCGGATCCGTGTGCAGTGCACAGTCTCCGGGATTATACTGACCGGAATTCCGGGGGTTCCTGGGAATCCGGGCAGCCCTGGAGGTCCCTGCGAAATACACAGACGTCACAGAGGTGAATAACAGGGCTAAGATCAATAAGCAAGTCTCCCTCCCCCTCCTCCCTGCAATTTATCTCTCACCTGCGTCCCCCTCATCCCCTTCTGAATTAAGGTTGGATTCGGGGTGGGGGGGGGGGGGGAGAGGAGTGAATGAACCCCCACTCCCACCGAGGTACTGGTGAGTAAGCCTTCCCCCAAGTTGAGACACCGAGGAGCATACCCCCCCCCCCACCCACACACACACACACACGCAGAGACACTTACTCTGATTCCTTTCGGTCCCTGAAAGCCCGATGAACCCCGGTCCCCCTGAGAGAAACAGAGAGGGAATTAAACACCACCATCACAGACCCTCCCCCGACCCCCCTCACCACCAGTCACCGTCACTGACAGACACTGTCTCCAGCCATTGGTGGCCAGAGGATGGGGGCAGAGTTTTGGCAAAAAGACACGTAAAACAGTAAATCTGCAGCTCGCGCTCACACGGGTCCTTTGTTTAGGAGCGGCTCAGGCCAACTTGTTTACATTATCAGCTTCACTGACAACGTTTTTTTTAAAGAACATTTTTCGGGAACATCCAGGAGCAAGATAGCGAGCGAGTGGATTCCGCCGCCTCCTACCTTCAAACCCCTCAGTCCAGGTGGTCCCTCTGGTCCAGGGAACCCAGGCAATCCAGGATTTCCTTCCATCCCAGGCAAACCCCGGTCCCCCTGTCCAGAGACAATCAAAGAACATTGAACAGTATAAATAATAATGATAATGATAATCCTTGCCTTTGCTACTGCGCCTCATCACGTCTTTGAGACGTCTATACTGTAAAGAGAATATACTGTAAAGTGAATTGATTTTGTGGGTGAAACACAGCAGCCAATTGTGCACAGCAGCGTCCCCACAAACAGCCGTGGATTGAGTGACAAAATAACGTATTTATTTATGTATTTATTTACTTATTTATTATAAAGCTGCTCGGAGGCAGTGCAGCAAAAGATGGCGCGAATATTGGACAGAAACCATTCCATTAATTAGCTATTAATTTTATTAAAATGGGCACTGAGTCGGCTGCAGTGCCATCACCTGGCCACTGGGTGGTGCCACTCTTTCACGCTGCTCCACCTGGTGGCCAGGTGATGGCACTGCAGCCGACTCTGCTCAAGCCCCAGGTGACTGATTCCAGTTCAGGGTCTTATTCCCGCAGCGTTGGGCGGTTTGGGATTGGAGTTGGGTGGGTTGGTGGTGGTGGGGGGGGGTCGGGGGCCGGGGTGTTTGCTCCTGATCACTGCTCAGATGGCCCCACAGCCCCCACCACTGCGCTGGGTTTGTCCACGTGTAATTGTGTGGACATGACTCTGGCCTCGATTCCCCCCCTCACCCAGTTGGATATCCCGAACTTCGGTCAGAAACAGTCAACACCTTCAGGAGAGAGAATTTTGTACAAAGTTTGACAAATGTTTGAATTCCGGGAGTGAGGGAGATGTTACCGGGAGGGGAGGGGAGGGGGGGGGGAGGGGGGAGGGGAGGGGAGGGGGGGGGGGAGGGGAGGGGGGGGGAGGTGGTTAAACACAGAGAGACCAAAAGACCCACCCTGTCTCCTTTCACTCCGCTGCAGTCGCATGATGACCCTGTGTTACAGCCATGACAAGCCTAGGAGAACAGAGACATTTATTAACATCTTTACTGCCAATTTTGGTCACTTCTGCCTGGGAACCTGAGGAAGCAGCCCTGACCCCCTCCCCTCCCATTGCTCTCCTCCCCTCCCCTCCCCACCCTCCCCACCCACCCAACACTCACCCACCACCAAATATTGCCCTTGTCAACACCCCCAGACCATGAGCTCCCACTTCAATTCTCAGTGCGAAGATCAAATCATTTCAAAGATTTGAGAATCCGGTTTTGGGGAGGAGACATTCTCTGCTTCACTTTGCCCCCCCACACCCCCACCTCCTTGAACCCCCACCTCCCTGACCGCCCCATCTCCCTGAACCTGCCCCCCTCCCCTCTTTTCCGCACATTCCGGCTCAGTACAGCAGAGAGAGGAGAAAGGTTTGCTTTCATTCAGTTCAGTCAAAACATTACTCAGGCTGAAGATTGTCTCTCAGCCCAGGGCTGCCCTATGTGGGTAAGTGCGTTCGGCACCATCTGGAGGTGGAATAGTAAGTACAACTGAGGAGTCCAGTAGTGTAGTGGTTAGAGCGCTCGCCTCACAAGCGAGAGGACCCGGGTTTGATTCCCGGGCAGGGTGAAACCTTACACAAGTTTCCTGTTTACCCAGCAGTAAGTAGGAACCCATTTTTAGTTGATTGGCGGATCGCTTTCCAGGGGAAAGCCCCAAACCACCCTGACTAGAGGCGTGATGAGGGGTCCCCTCCGGAAGAACTCCCTCCTTCGATCTCTCTTTAAATCACGCCTAAAACTCATCACCTTATAAATCGCCCCCTCCCTCCCTCCCTCCCTGCATTAAGTTCTTTCTTTTCAACGGCACTTTTAGTTATCTTCCCCACCCCCCCACCCCCCAGCCACCACCCCCCCGCGTCCCCCCACAGGCCCTCATCGGCTCTGTGAAGCAAACGTCTTGAGACATCCGCCCGATGTGAAAGGCGCTGTGTAAATGTAAAGTTATTGTGAACACTGACACCTTTAACTGCGCCTTTGGCCAACTACGGCCTCCCTCTCTCTTGCTCTGTGTCAGACACCGTCGCTGTGAAGCGCTCTGAGGCTCTATCCTACGTGAAGAGCTCTGTATACACACAAGTCACTGTAAAACGGACAATTCTTGGATTGGGACCTGCAGTTTGCAAAGTGCCCACAGGAGGGCACCAGAACACCGCTTTGCCTCCATCTCCCAGTCCCAGGGTCCGGGGGTCTGACTGCGATGGCATCGGGTTCTACTGCCCACATTTTGCTCACTTTTTATAGTGTGTCCCACAGTAAGACAAAGCCGGTCAGGATGTGCGACGGTGAGCTGTACGGTGTTAATCCGGTTCGACTCCCAACAATCAACAACAACGCTAATGAGAAACATAATTCTCGCATTTGATATAAGACCTTATTACTTCAACGAAGCGTCTCAAAGCGCTTCACAGAATGTACTTGTAAAGTGCGTTGACTCGCGGGTTCTGTGGGTGAAACGCGTCAGCCAGTTGCGCACGGCCTTGGATCGAGTGACCAATTTTGTTTGGGGGGATTGTCGGCCAAGAGCCCGAGAGAGAGATACTGGAGAATAAGTATTGACACAATGAGAGAACGGGATAGACGGAGACAGAGGAAGAGAGAGAGTGACCGAAAGAGTCAGAAAAAGACAGAGAGAGACAAAGACACACAGTGAAAGGCTTTCACTGGATGGCCAGGAAGCAGGATCTGATATTTCACCTCTCCCACCCCACTTCCTCTCCTCTCCCCCCACCCGGTTGAGGGTCTACAACCAATGTCCCGACTGCTATAATGAAGTCAGTCTCGTCACTGGGGGGGACACACACACAGACTTGCCCTCCGCGCCCAGCCCCCCCTTCCCCCCCCCACACTTCTCCTGCAAGTAAGAACCAGCCTTGGATACATGTATAATATTTAGAATACAGACACGTAAAGACACCAAATAAGACGCCAAGCCACAGGCAATCTCCATGGCGACCGGCCTGTGCTAACTGACCATTGCACCGGCTTTTTATCTGCTTTACAAAGGCCGCTGGAGCCGGCGGCGCTGTCACTGTAATCCCCTGTCACGCTGGGGGCTCAGGGTGCTGTGCTGAGGGCTGAGGGAGCGGCCGAGTGGAGTGGACAAGGCTGTATTGTGTGTGTGTCGCCTCTCACAGGGCATCGGCTCTGCCGGAGCCCGTCCAGCGGAGGGCGTCACGGTCAGCCAGGCCCTGCGGCCCAGCGCCTCCTGCTGGAAGGTGGGTGCCCGGACATGCAGCGAGGAGAGGATTGAGCTCAGCTGTGCCCCCACCCCACCCCCAGGTCCCCCACACTCCCCATTCTCTCCGCCACCGCTATTGGAAAAGTCAAGGAAGTGTCACTCTCCCCACGTCCCGGACGACAACAATAATAATCCTCGCATTTGACACAGCGCCCTATCACGTTGTCGAGACGTCTCAAAGAGCTTCACAGGACACACCGTAAAGTGGAATCGACTGTGCGTTTTGTGGGCGAAACAATCCCCCTGAAGAGAATCGGTTGCCTTGTTTCCCGGCTGTTTGCTGGGCGCAAAAACGTCAAAACGATTAATTGTTCTTCCTGATGTTAAATGTGGCGGAGAGGCTGCTTTCTGAATGTGCAGTGAGCGGTCAGACTGCCGCGCAGGTCAGTGGGCAGCGTTTCTTTAGCCTTTTATCCTGCGCTTTACACTCAGCATTCCGATGGAAGCCAATCCCTTCAACATGACCAAGCAACCACCACAACGCTTAATACCTCTCCTCTGCCCTTCCCAAGGCTCCATTCGACCATCACCTTCCCGCAACCCTCCTAAATGATGGCCACAGAACTGTCAGACGATTATTATTATTATTATTATTAGTGTTTTGGTTCAGATGCTAAACCGAGGATCCATCTGCCAGTTGAGCTGAACGTTAAAGATTTCTCTCTCTCTCTCCTGGTGTCTTGGTCAACAATCCCACAAGTAAAATTGGCCGCTCACTCCATGGCTGTTTGTAGGACGCTGCTGTGCTCTGCCAAGTTTCGCCCACAAAATACACAGTCACTACACTTTAAAGTGTATCCTGTGAAGCATTTTGGGGAAGTCTCAACGACGTGATAAGGCGCTGTATCAAATGCAGGGATTATTGTTAATATTGTATGTGATGTGACGTCGGGAGCTCTGGTAAGTTATCCGTAATTTAAATGTTGCAAATCACGTCAAAATAGCTCAAAGAGCTTTGCGGGATTTCGCTGTAAGGTCTAGTGACTGTGCGATTTGCAGGAGAGTGTGGTAGCCACATCCACACACACACGCACACATGCTCAGACACACACACATGTGCGCGCACACACATCCGCTGTAGCCGGGGTGGAAGTTCTGTGCCAGGACCTGCAGGGTTTGGCCGGGAGAGAGGTCACACCCATCATTAATCCAACCACTATTTTCTTTCTTCAGGTGGACATAAAAGAAGAGACTGAGATGCCCGGATTCCCTTTCACCCACTCCCGTTCCCTTAGCAACCGCTGTGCCGTCAGCCCGGCAATCCAAGCTCGGCATCGCTCCCCACACGGCTCAGAGGCGTTAGTGCAGCTCTGACCCCGGAGTCAGGTGTTCAAATCCACCTGTTTCACCCCCGTCCTGGGGGCAGAGAGGTGAGTGATCAGCCAATCAGCTCCCGCACACCCGGAGAGTGTCTCTCATTCCCCTGCACATACGTGTGCAATCACACACACACACCACACATACATGCAATCTGACACGCAATAAATCACACACACTCACAATCCTCGGGCAGACATGGACAGGGTGAGCTAATCCCCAGGAATGCTGATCACGTTGAACAATGACGTACAGTATTAATGTCCACTTTAACTGCAGAAATTCTGAGATCATAATGAAGGGGAAGTAATAAATAACCAGTATCTATCACCCCCCCTCCCCCCGCCCCCCCAAACCGAATGCCTATCAGGCCCCCAAGGTCAGCCTGGCTCGTCCTGTTCAGGTGGGTGTTAAAGATCCCGCGGGGCTGTTGGGAAAAAGAAGGGAGTTTCTTTCTCCCGGTTTCCTGGCCAACAATCCCGCAGACAAAATTGGTCATTCACTTCATGGCTGTTTGTGGGGATATTGCGGTGTGCAAATTGGCTGCTGCGTTCGTCTTAAAGACACAGTCACTACACTTTACAGTCCAGTGCTTTGAAACGTCCTCCTGACGTGGATCAGATATAAGGATTATTATTGATTGATTAATTCATTCATTAATAAGGCACAGACACATAGAGCCACAGGCTCCCACCCTCAGCCTCGCCGCTCATCTCTGAGATCTTCAGCAACTTGGGAGGGTCCCAGCGCCCACACAGCTTCAGATTGAGCGCCAGTTGTGAGGCTTGTAATAATATATAATAATCCTTGCATTTGATACAGCACTTTTTACGTCTTATCGACATCTCAAAAGAGCTTCACAGAATAGACTGTAAAGTAAATTGACTGTATATTTGTGGGCGAAATAATAATAATAGTAATAATAATAATCCTTGCATTTGATACAGCGCCTTATCACGTCGTTGAGACGTCTCAAAGCTCTTCACAGAATATACTGTAAAATAAATTGACTGTGTATTCCGTGGTTGAAACGCGTCAGCCAATTGCGCACAGCAGCGTCCCCACAAACAGCCGTGGATTGAGTGACCACATTTTTTGGGAGGGATTATTACCCCCGAAAAAGAGATTTGCCAATCGACTAACACCCGGGTTCCGTCTTACTGCTGGGCAAACAGATGCTTGTGGAGTAAGGAAACTTGCCGAAGGTTTCGCCCCGACCTGGGAATCAACCGTAGGTCTTCTCGCTTGCAGGACCCCAAGTTGTGAGTCACACTGAGTCAGGAAAGCTACACTGGGGCAGGAGAAGTGTTGACACACAGCCTGAGGTCGGGGGGTGGGGTGGGTGAAGGATTAATTCTAGGTACATGGCCCTGGGGGATGGGGAAGGGGAGAGATCGGCAGACGTAAACATTCATAAATATCTGACAGGAATCCAGTCATTTCTTAAATTACTCACAACAGCTGAAACAATGTGCGTTCAGGTGGTGAAGCGGAATGGAAGAGAGGGGGAGGAGGAAGAGGAGAGAGGGGCTCACGGTCTCTGCACATTTTGGGGAGTGGGGGAAGGAGTTTTTTTTGGACAGGGGTTAGTATATTCAGAAAAAAATTCTCTCTCATCCTTCACTGAAATCTTTGCTGCTGTTAAGGCTTTATATCAAATGCAGTGATTATTATTATCACCGCCCCCCCACACCCCCGTCGACTAACAACCGGGTTCCTACTGACTGCCGGGAAACAGAGGCGTGTGGGTGGAATAAGGAAACTTGCCTAAGGTTTCGCTCCGCCCGGGAATCGAACCCGGGGCCTCTCGGTTGTGAGGCGAGCGCTCTAACCACTATACGATGGGATTCCTGCGAGACAGACACTGACACAGAGTGTTACTTGGTCCTCGGTTTGCCTCACCCTCAATGACCAGGTTAACAACGAAAGCTAACCATCTCTTAATCACTGAACAAACAAGCTGGATATTAGTGGCTGGAGATAGCACTGTAGTTAGTGAGTTCCAAACTACAGTGGGTTAGCAAAGTGTTAGTTACAGTCAAACACACCCCAAATTGCACAATTGCACTAATCTGCTGTGTGGCCAATGGCACTTTACACAGTCCTGACTGACTGACTGACTGACTGCCGCAGGCTGGGGAGAGCTCATCCAGTCGGTCATCAGCTGATTAAAATTTACCCCGAAACTAACCCACTGCTTGTTTAGTCCTGAAGGTCAAGGCAGTCGGTCTCGCAGGCTAAGGAGAGGGGGAATTTCAAGGCCACAGTTACCCTGTCCAAACGAGCCGCAGAGCAACTTGGGGACTCAGCATCTCAGAGGTAACCCTAAACCTAACCCTAATAATAATAATCCTTGCATTTAACATAGCGCCTTATCACGTCATTGAGACGTCTCAAAGCGCTTCACAGAATATACTGTAAGGTGAATTGACTGTACTTTGTGGGCGAAACTTTATGGTGCTCGGGTGAAGAGTTGGCATTTGGGGTCTCTCAAAAGAGCCAGACGTCTACTGTGCTTATGCCCACTTAACTTCCACCCCCCCCGCCCCGGGTAAAATAACAAGACACTGCACCCACCAATTACAACTAACTTTGTTCACTAGTTCCTGAGCATTTAGGCTTGTTAACCACTGATAAAACGCTCCCCGC